AACATGTTAAGCATGCATCATTCTTCATTTAATCCCCTTTATCACAGCAGCAAAGGGCTTGCAGCAGATGTTTCAGGCTGGCAGCCCACAGAGGCATGTTGTCCACCCACTATAAGGTTTTTTAAAATCTGAGCCAACATTTTTAAATCTGGGAATTTCACATAGACATTCAGGCTTCTGCTTCTCTGGAAAATGTGGCAGAGTTAGCATCCGGAGCCCACACCTCCACATGGCAACGCTCACCCTGAGGACCAGATGCCCCCTTTACCCAGGGTCAGAAGACCCTGGGCTGTCCCCTCCACCAACTCCCACTGGGTCTCCCACAGTGAGATCCCAAGCCGCTTGCCCTTCTTGTCATTGTGTATTACTCACTTGCCATTTATCACTGTGTTTGCACTTCTATACCCGTGTCTCTATTTAAAACTGAAAAACAAAACTAAAGTCACACTGTCTTCACAAAGTTGAGGGGCTGCCCTGGCCCTGCAGGTGGGCAAGCTCACTGCCCCAACTCTCCAGATCCGGCCCCTGCCTCTACTCCTCCTATCTATGCTATCCTATTCATGGGTTTCATTGTCTTCTCCATGAAATAAGAGACTGTATTTCTAAACAAGTTAGAAATAAGAACTTATTAATTTCTAAACTTAGCTCTAAATCCATATTTTAAAAAAAAATTTATTGGAGTTGATGTGCAATGTTGTGTTAGTGTCAAGTGTACAGCAAAGTGAATCAGTTTCACATGTATCTACTCTGTTTTAGATTCTTTTCCCATATAGGTCATTAAAGAGTATTGAGTAGAATTCCCTGTGTTGTGCAATAGGTCCTCAGTAGTTATCTGTAACTACTAAAAGACAAATATCATATGATATCACTTCAGGGCCCTACGCCCCCCCCCCCACCTCTCCCAGCTTCCCCCCAGCCCCGGCACACGCACCACCCCAACCACCTCTCTGTTTATCTTCCTCCTAACCCTTATCACAATCTGAGATTCTATTTTCCGTGTTTACTTGTTTCTTAACAACTTCTTTATTAAGTATTATAATTATGGCACTGAAGTAGGTTTTTGATAAGTATTTGCAGGTTGTTAAAACCAATCAGTCTGCATAAATTCTAAAGCATATTTTCAAATGTGTTAGACACATTTTTTAAAAGAGAGAGGTCCTATATTCCATATAGTATGGTGGTTAAAAGGCCCGTCTTTGTCAGCTGTCTAAAGTTTTTATCCCTACTCTGTTCCATCCCAGTTGTTTGAGGAATAAATAAATCTACTTCCTAAGGGTGTTAGGGACATTCATTTATCCAGATAAATCTGTGCTTGCTGTGTGCAAGGTCTAGACAGCTTCTATTTTGCAGAGACAGACAAGAAAGCATTGCTTTCTCCCTGCAGCCCCTGGAAACCACCATTCTACTTTCTCTCTATTTTGACTCTGCGTTTCTCATTTAGAGGGAAACACATAGTATATGTATTTTTGTGGCTGACTTATTCCACCTAGCACAATGTCCTCAAGGTTTATCCACGTTGTAGTCTATGTTAGAATTTCCTTCCTTTTTAAGGCTGGATAATATTCTATTGTATATGTAAGTCACATTTTGCTTATCTATTCATCCAATGATGGACACTAGGGTTGCTTCCATATTTGAGCTACCTTTGAATAGTGCTACTGTGAACATGGTTGATCGTTGTACAAATATCTCTTTGAGTCCCTGATTTAAGTTCTTTTTGATATGTACCCAGAAGTGATAAATAACATGTTAATTCTATTTTTACTATTTTGAGGAAGTAGCATAGTTTTTCTACAGCAACTGTGCCGTTTTATATTCTCACCTATAGTGCACGAGGGTTTCATTTTATCCACAACCTTACCAACACTTGTTACTTTCTGTGTTTGTGTATGTGTTTTGATAGTAAGCTATTCTAATGGGTATGAGGTGGTATCTCATATCAGTACTTTTGATTTGCACTTCCCTAATGATCAATGATATTGAGCATCTTTGTATACACTTATTAACTATTTATATATCTTTGTTGGAAAAATGTGTTTTCAAGTTCTTTGCCCATTTTTGGATGAAGTTATTTGTATTTTTTGTTGTTGAGTCTTAACATGCTGGTTTTTAAACTAACCCCTGGCAATGGGAGTGGCAGCACTCTTAGATAATTATGTTGATATTTGGATCCTAGTTAGGCAACTTACAGTGTCACGTTGCATGGAGAAGATTGTGTTCAGTTTAAACATGTCTAAAAAGCTAGTGAGATACCGAGGTGAAGATATGCTTAAAAGGCTGTGTGTATGGGTCTGGATTATTAAGAAAAAAAAAAAAGAGTAAGGGGAGGTTTCACTTTGTAATAAGTTCTTCGACCATGGGACAATGAAGCTTTTAAAAAACTATCTGGCAGGTGAGACAGCAGTGCCCACCAAGCATTCTAATTGCCTCCTGCATGTCCCAGCTCCGTTTGAGTTTGGCAGAGATGTACACACAGTCATGGTCAATGAGCTGGGGGGGAAGTAGCGCGTTTTTCTTCTACGCCTGTTTTTCTCCCAAAGGGAGACTCAGGAGGCCATGGATTCCAGATGGGCAACTATAATATGGAAGCGACTCCATTTAGCTCAGGTCCCTCAGTGTGTAGAACCAAGCCCCTTGACAACTCACACAGGCCATTCAACATGAAAGAGAAATGAAGCTTTTTTATATTCATCCACTGAACACACTCCATTTAGAGTTGTTGCAATAGCATAGCCTGCATGGAATTTTATCTCTTTGATGTCTCAGGGACACTATTATAGAGCTGCTGTTGTGTTATGTCGATCTTTTATTCCTTAAAAACATCAGTGCCATTGGAGGTTACTGAGCTAAGTTAAGATTGTTGACTTTGAAAAGATTAAAATGAGCGGGGTGGCAAAATGTCTTGTCTAAAAAAGCCTATAATGTAGATTCTTGTAACTGGAGTTAACCAGGCATGTGAAAAATCAGAGGCTAGGAAATTAACAGTCAGTGCTTGGTAACTTGATTTTATTACATATATCAATAGTGTTATGTTTTCCCCCATTTATATACTGTTACACTCAAGTTATACAACAATTAGAGTGAACTAACTCTGATAGTTCAAGTTTAATAAATCTCTTCAGAGTTACCCATGATGTCAGAAAGAGATCTGGTTAATCTTTCTGCGGAATAAAGGGATACTTGGAGAGTNCCCCGACCCCCACCCCACCAACAGTGCTCTTTAGGGCTGTCTTGATGGAGTTAGTGAATGTTATTGTCTCTGAAAGTGGCTTATACACTTCATTGTTTTATCTGGTTTCTGAGGCTGGACTTATGCTACAGCTCTGAACTTTGACTTTTTTAGTTGATTACTCAGTCACTGAGACCCTGAGTCAAAGCTTCATGATCCTTGTTTAGAGAGGGCTGATGGTGGGGAGGGGGGAGCAAGTTATTTCATTGGTGATTTTCCAAGTTTAGTTGGTTAATTTATACTCTTGTTTCTTTCTGAAACAAAATTTGAAGTGCTTTAAAAAAGATACTTTGTAGGTCATCAGAAATAACCAACTCATACCCCATGGAAGTTCTCCTTGGTTTGGAGCATAGGTCAAGAAGTGGGAACCATGCTTTCTTTCTTTTTTGCCCACAGAGTGTTTTTTACATTATTGAAATAGGTGCCAATGTTTAGAAATCAGATTTAACATGAAAATGTAGCTCATCTTTTAAAATAGGCAGGTGTGTCCTCTTTCTCCAAGCCTGTACCAGCCATAGGCTGGAGCAGAAATTATAGGACTTAGGCTGCTTGCTTTCCACAGCCCACACTTGGTCCAGCTTGCCACTCAGGGTATTACTCCACGACTTCAGACATTGAGTAACTCTAAAGAGATTCACTAAACTTGAACTATAATTTTTGTGTATAAATTTTGTGTAACTTTAGTCTAACATTATATAAATTGGGGGAAATGTAATACTATTGATATCCATAATCAAATCAAGTTACCAAGCAAAAATAAATAAATACAGCTAGATAAAATAAAAGATAAGGGAGGAAGTTGGAGGGGAGGGAAAAGCCAGATAGGAAAAATACAGTTAGCACTCAGAGTCACACTGAGGAGTTTGTAGTGTTAAATATGGGTGGTGGCTTTGACTCCACACTTCTTAAAGGCAAAGACAGGGAAGAAGACATGATGAATAATGTGATTTATTCTGTCCATCCTTAAGGTGAAAAGATGACACTTGGAGTACAAGTATTTATGGTCCTGAAGCTCCCAGAGGGGGTGTCTCAGTGGCTTGGGGCGCTTCAGTGGTAGTGGTTTTGTGGAAATGCACTTCACTCCACCCCTCCCCGCCATGGTCTGGCTTCATCCAGGGGTGAAGTGTTCCCCTTCACTCCACAGTGAGAGCACAGAGAGAAACCCCACGTGGTCAGAACTGATCTGTGAGCATCTCTTCAGTTGTCTAACAGCAATCTGTCTTCTACCGTTTAAGCAGACTCTTGTTTCTCTAGGGGATTCACGGAATGAGGAAATTGGCTGGCATTTAGGTGCCGTGTTGCACACAAAAATTCTTCTCTTCATAACTCGGAGATGATAGCCAGTACGGGCAGCGCTCCTGGCGTCAGAGGCGTGTGGGAAGCGAGGTGCAGGCTGCGGGGGTGGGAACTGCGCAGGGTCCTTGCCTCCCCCAGGCACACGCTCTCCCGAGAAGGGCACTCGCTCTGGCTCGCTCTCAGCTCTCTCTCTCCCTCTGTGTCTCCCTCTGCTTCTGTCTCCTTCCCTCCTTCCCATTCCCCGAGCCCCTTTCTCTCTGGTTGACCGTGTATAAGCTCAGAAAACCGCTGTTGGCTTGCTGTATCTGAGAATGCACAGTGTTTTGCCCCCCAGGCAATCCTTCATGGGTTTTCTTTCTCATAATTTTACTTTAGGTACAGATACTAGGTGACAGAGGACGTGGTTATACGCTCTGTCCAGAACAGGAGATGCAGAGATTCTGTTTTGAGAGCAAATCTGTAACCCTCATAGTCATCAAAAGAATCCGAAATGCAGTACTTGGGTGCAATCTCAAAAGCCTACAGAACTGACCATAAACAGTCACTGTAAATGGGGATTTGGGTTGTCGTGGGGAGTGGAAGTCAGTTTCAGTTGGGATTGTGGCTCCGAGGGTTGTGAGCTTAGTGATGAGGCAAGTTACTGAGACTCCTCTCTCTGTCTCAGTTATCTTATCTTTAAAATGGCAAGGACAGTGTTGGCTTCATAAGGTTAATGCGAAGCTTCAATAAGATGATACAGGGAATGGTTGGTGAATTGCTCAGTCTGTGTAGCTCTTTTGTGTCATAAATCTAGGAGCTGAAACAGATAGGCCTAACCTACCTCCTCACAAAATTAAGTTATCAATACAGGCAGTGTTCTGAAAACGACGTTTGGAAATTAATCTTTTTTTTAACTGATGTGCAACAATTTTATCATTTTTCAGAGAAACAGCACCCAGGACTATCTTCCAGAGAGTCCTGGATATCTTAAAGAAATCTTCTCATGCTGTTGAGCTGGCCTGCAGAGATCCATCCCAAGTGGAACATCTGGCTTCCAGTCTGCAGCTGATAACGGAATGCTTCCGGTGTCTCCGGAATGCCTGTATCGAGTGTTCTGTGAACCAGAATTCAATCAGGTACTACTGTTCTTTCTTGTTACATACATGCCTTTGATTATATGGGCTTCCCAGCTGGCACCAGTAGTAAAGAGCTCGGCTGCCAATGCAGGAGATGAAAGAGATGTGGGTTCAGTCCATGGGTCGGGAAGATCCCCTGGAGGAGGGCCTGGCAACCCACTCCATTATTCTTGCCTGGAGAATCCCATGGACAGAGGAGCCTGGTGGGCTGCAGTCCATGGGATTACAAAGAGTCAGACACGACTGAAGCTACCTAGCACGCATGCATGCTTTGATTGTATTTCTTTGTGTCTGTGCGTGCTGGTTCTGCCATGTTGGCTTATCCAGTAGAAATGATCTTGGCATCACAGCTGCCTGTTTAGATTCAGACTGTCGCCACATCTTGGGGACAAGTGCTCTGCAAGACTCGCCGTGGGAGACTCTTAGATGAATTTATAAAGGTACAGCACATTTAACATTAAGATTACTTCCGTTTCTTACTTGTATTTATAAGTTTAGAGGTATTTGGTTTTCTACATAAAAGTGATTTGAACTTTGTTCCTTTGATTCTGCCTGCCTCAAGGCATATGCAGTTCTAGACTTCACTTATTAGTTGTAAATATTTTAATTAGTTTTTGTGTTTTAATTAGTTGCTGTTGTCTTTACTTTGAACAGGGAGCACATCGTGAAATTCTCAGCTTTCCTTAAGATCCTGTAAACTTGCCAGCTTACTTCCACCTAACTTACAACGTACGACTGAAATGTCATTACCGAGATGAGTGAGAGAATTGCCCTGAGCTGCTCTTGTTCTTTTACACGTTACACTCTCCTCCCAGAACTGAGCACCTTTCCTCTTTGGTTTTATGGAATCTACTTTTTATTAAAAGTTTTTACTTGAGGTGAAGTCAGAAGCCATAGAGCATGCTCACCTTTATTTCCTGGACTTGAGTGCAGACAGAGCCCAGGGGCCTTGCTGTCAACTGCCAGGATGAGTGAAGGCGAGCTGGTGCAGACGCCAGTGGAGGGATTCCCTGCACTGCCTGGACTGTCTACACCTGAGGCTTGAATGTGATTAATGAGATTCTTTAGATCAAAGGAGAGGACGGGGTCGGGGGTGGGGGGGAAGCGAGGCTTTAACCTCAGCACAGAATTGAACATGGCATCCTATGCAGATGAATGGATAGACACAGTAATAATCTTGGTAGCAACAGTTAACTTTGAGAAAGTGTAACTAGTTCTGTGCTCGATGCAGCAGGCCAGCACTGAGTCTGTTTTGTCACTTTCCAGGCAGGTAGGCCTCTAGTGTGACAGGGGAGGGGAGGAGACCCCTGAATGGACATGCTAACCGTTTGGGGCATCAGCTCTTGGAGGAACCATTCCTCTAGTCAGAAATACAAGAGAGATTCCGGTCAACCTCAACTAAAGCTGATGTTGCCAAGCCTGTCAAGCTTCAGATCTCAAGAAAAACATATTTTTCTGATGTTTTAAGTTATTAAAGAATTAATTAAAAAGTAGGATGCTCTTAGGGCCTAGGTCTTTTTATCTCCTTTGTCTGAAAATTGCACTTTGTGTGGACTGGAATTATTTTTTGCCAAGGCTGTATGGAACATGGGATTTAATACAGCAGAGCAAACAACCTGAGTCATATGAAACTTCAGGAAGTACTCAGAGAAGACTGTTAAAAGCAGTTAGCCCTGCCTGTAAATATGACCCCTGTTGCTGGGGTTGCTGTGCTGGTACTGCACAGAGCCAGATGAATAGTTCAGGCTCTGTGGTCTCTGTCAGATGGTTCAGTTCTCCCATTGTTTGTGAGAGCAGCCATGCACAGTACGTGAACAAACGCATATGCTGTGTTCCAATAAAACCTCATTTGTGAGCATTGAAATTTGAGTTTCATAGAATTCGCATGTCATGAAGTTGCATTTATCTCCTCCCCTGAAATCTGGCCGATAGAAGTAGGCAGTGCGCCCAGTCACTTGACAGCTGTTTGTACGTGTAAAGGCAAGGGCTGCTACTGCTAAGTCACTTCAGTCGTGTCCGACTCTCTGCGACCCCATGGACGGCAGCCCACCAGGCTCCCCCGTCCCTGGGATTCTTCACGCAAGAACACTGGAGTGGGTTGCCATTTCCTTCTCTAGTGCGTAGAAGTGAAAAGTGAAAGTGAAGTTGCTCAGTCGTGTCCGACTCTTAGCGACTCCATGGACTGCAGCCTACCAGGCTCCTTTGTCCATGGGATTCTCCAGGCAAGAGGACTGGAATGGGGTGCCATCGCCTTCTCCGAAAGGCAAGGGCAGAAAGAGGGAATAGCTTCTTCTCTTCGAGTCAGGCGCCGAGCCGCGTTTCCCTTCACTCCTGTATTTGAAAAAAGAGGACAGGGGCAGTGCCATCTGCCCACCTGGGCTTGGGGAGGGGCAAGAGGGCCCTCGCCTTTGCACACTCACCCTGACCCTCGTCTTTAGCAGTGAATGTCTTGGCCTGATTCTGGTTCTTGTTGAGAAGAAGTGAAGAATGTAGGGAGCTGTATGAGTTCCTTTTGCTGCTGTTACAGATTACTGCAAATACAGTAACTTAAACCAACACAGATTATTATCTGACAGTTTTTGAGTTCAGAAGTCCAAAATCCATTTTTCTGACCTAAAGTTGAAGTGTCAGCAGAGCTGGTTCATTCTGAGGCTCTAGCAGAGAATCCATTCTCTTGCTAATCTGTTAGTAGCTTCTAGAGTCTGTCTGCTTTCCTTCCTTCATGGCTCAGTCTTCCCATCTTCAAAGCAACACTGTAACATCTTCCAGTCTTTCTGACTCTGACCATCTGGTGTCCCTCTGATAAGGACCCACCTAGGTAGTTCAAGATAATCTTCCCATCTTCAAGTTGTTAATTTAATCATACCTAGAAAGGTCTCTTGTATTTTCTGACCAGTTCTTATTCTCCAAAAGCAGCCCGGAGTCCAACATTTCAAATCCATTCTGACCCTAACTACCTCAAGTTAGTGATGTCACATCCCGTAACTTCATGACTCAATCCCACAGGACTGTCCCACTTGATGCCAGGGGCGAACGGGGTCCCCAGGCTACATTTTTGCCCAGCCAACTACAAAGTCAGGGCTTCCCAGGGTACCCGCAGGTTTGATAATTCAGTAGAACGACTCGGGGAACTCAGGGAAGCACTTTACATTCTATTACAAGTGTCCTGGAAAGGGAGACACGGAAGGGATACTCAGGATGGGGCAGGGCAGACTTCTAGGCCTTTTCTAGGCCTGCCATCTTCTAGACACTTTGGTGTGTTCATCAGCCCATTTGAAACCTTTCCAAACTCACTGTTTAGTATTCTTCATGAAAATTCTGTTACATAGACACGATTGATTGGATCATTGGCCAATGGTAATTGAACTCAGTCTCCAGCTGTCTTCCCTTCCTCTGAGATGGGAGGTTGGGTTGAAAGTTTCAGCTGTCTGATCTGATCTTATGGTTGGTTCTTGTGGCAGCGGCCCCCTCCTGAAGCTGTCTACAGGCCCAGTGACAGCTAATTTATTAGCATAAACTGAGAAGGGTTGAAGGGAGCTTGTTAGGAATAACAATGATAGTCATCTAATTTACTAGCATAAACAGGAGGGTTGAAGGGGCTTGTTGGGATTAACGAGAGCCCTTCCTGTCACACAGGGACTTCAAGGATATCAGGAGCTCTGTGCCAGGAACCGGAGGACAAAGATTAAATATGTATTTCTTATATCACACCTCTTTTGCCATGTGAGGTAACTTTCAAAGTTTTAAGTTTAGTATGTGGACGTTTTTCAGTGACCCTTATTTTGCCTAGCACAGTCTACCCTTTGGCCCCTAAAGATTCATGTCCATACTATGTGCAAAATACGTTCATCTCATCCTGAGATCCCTCAAATTCTTGACCCGTTACAGCACCAACTCAAGTCCAAAATCTTATCTAAGTCTCATTAGCTAAAATGTCCCAAATCTTACGTCTGAATTATATATGGTTGAGATTCTGGGTATGATTCACTCCGGGACAGAATTCCTTTTTATCTTTGGGCTCGTGGAACTGGACAGCAAGTTGTCTGCTCCCAAAATACAATGGAGGGACAGGCATAGGGTAACAGTTCTAGACATTATCCTCTAAAAAAGGAGAAAATTGAGGGAAAAGAGGAGTCATTGGTCCCAAGCAATTTCAAAATCCACTTGGGCAAACTCAGGTTTTGAGGCTTGGGAATAATCCTCTGTGGCTTGAGGCTCTGCCCTTGCTCTTACCCTCAGAGTCATCCTTCCTTTTTCTTGAAGGGTAAGGGTAGCACATGTTTTCATCCAAATAGTTTTATCAGCCTATTTCCTGCTCATAGACTTTTGGGAGTTTAACAGCCTTCTTTCATTCTTTCTCTGTGCATTTCATCCATGTTGGCAGGGTTTCTACTGGTGTAACATTCGTAAAAACCTCTTGGGTCTCACGTGTATGTCATGGGGATTTATGCACCAATGAGCAGTACAGGATGTGCTGTCGAGCTTTCTCAGATAACCCATCTCTGTTCCTGATTTCTGCTGAGATGACCAGAAGGAATGAGAAACATGCCTGATCTCCTTAAAGAGCTCTCTGGGTGACTGAACACTCACCTTTGAGTTCTTCTAAGTCATTAGCACAAGCTGGAATCAAGATTGCCCGGAGAAATATCCATAATCTCAGATATGCAGATGACACTACCCTTATGGCAGAAAGTGAAGAGGATCTAAAAAACCTCTTGATGAAAGTGAAAGAGGAGAGTGAAAAAGCTGGCTTAAAGCTCAACATTCAGAAAACTAAGATCGTGGCATCCAAGTCCCATCACTTCATGGCAAATAGATGGGGAAAACAGTGGAAACACAGTTTCCAGTGACTGACTGTGTTTTTCTGGGCTCCAAAATCACTGCAGATGGTGATTGCAGTCATGAAATTAAAAGACGCTTACTCCTTGGAAGGAAAGTTATGACCAACCTAGACAGCATATTAAAAAGCAGAGACATTACTTTGCCAACAAAGGTCCGTCTAGTCAAGGCTATGGTTTTTCCATTGGTCATGTATGGATGTGAGAGTTGGACTGTGAAGAAAGCTGAGTGCTGAAGAATTGATGCTTTTGAACTGTGATGTTGGAGAACACTCTTGAGAGTCCCTGAGACTGTGAGGAGATCCAACCAGTCCATCCTAAAGGAGGTCAGTCCTGGGTGTTCATTGGAAGGACTGATGTTGAAGCTGAAACTCCAATACTTTGGCTACCTCATGCGAAGAGTTGACTCATTTGAAAAGACCCTAATGCTGGGAGGGATTGGGGGCAGGAGGAGAAGGGACAACAGAGGATGAGATGGCTGGATGGCATCACCGACTCGATAGACATGAATTTGAGTAAACTCCGGGAGTTGGTGATGGACAGGGAGGCCTGGCGTGCTGCAGTTCATGGGGTCGCAAAGAGTCGGACACGACTGAGCGACTGAACTGAACTGAAGTCATTAGCAAAAGGTTGTTCAGCCACACCCTCAGCTTTCTCTCCAGAGCACACTTTCCTAACAGTGAATATTCTAGTTTTCAGTGTCTTTTGCTATCTGGATGGACCAAGAGTTTCCCAAATTATACCTGGCTCCCTTTTAGTCTGCTTTATCTCTCCCTCGTTGCATTTTTACCATGTGTAGCAAGAGGAAATCAGGCCACACCATCAGTGTGTTGCTTGGAAATCAGCTCAGCTAAATATCCAGTTTCCTCTTTTGCTAAGCCTCTGCCATGGTAGAAAAAGGATTGCCTTTCTTCCAGTTTCCACTCCCCTGTTCCTCACTTCCTTCTGGGATCTCACCAGCAGTGCCTTCAGTGTCCGCATTTCTACCAGTGATTTGTTCAAGGTGTCTTGGCTTTTCCTGTCATGCTTCTCAAAAGTCTTTCAGCCTCTGCTTGTCGCCAAAGCCCAAAACCACTTGCACGTATTTTCTCTCTGTTACAGCAGCACCTCATTTCTGCTACCCAAGTCAGGGTCTTGTTGCTACTGTGACAAATTATTAAAGCTTAATGGTTTAACACAACACAGATCTATTATCTCATAGTTGTGGGATTCAGAAGTCTACAGTGGGTCAGCATGGCTGAGTCCCTTCTGGAGGCTCTAGGAGAGTCTTTTCCTGGCCTTTTCCAGCTTCTAGAGGCTCCTGCATTTCTTGGCTCATGGCCACCTTCTCTGACTCTTGTAAGACCCGTGTGATATACTGGGGCCACCTGGTTAATCTGGGATAGTCTTTTCATCTCAAGGTCCTTAATTTACTCACCACTGCAGAAGTCCCCTTTGCCACGTAAAGCGACACATTGATGGGTTTAGGAGATTAAGATGTGGGTACCTTGGAGGGCCATAAATCCGCCCACCATAAGAACTGTTAGCCAGTGGTCTCTGCATTCTTGGGACCATCATTCAAAGTACAGGTTTAAGAACAGCAATGTGTCTGACTTTGTCTTTTTTGAACACCTTATGCAGGAACTTGGGTACAATTGGCGTTGCTGTTGACTTGATTCTTCTCTTTCGTGAACTGCGAGTGGAACAGGACTCCCTGTTGACAGGTAATTGACAGTATGAATCGTGGATTATTTATATCTTTGACAAGGATTTAAATATCATTGCTTTGAGTATTACATCGTTCATTAGAGCAAATGTTCTATATGTTGTGAAACCGAGAAACTTCATTACTGATATTAAGGAGTGATCATAAAAGAAAGTTAGAGTAACTTCCTTTCCTCCGTTGTAGGCTATGTCTCCTTCCCGCATTAATATGTCGAAGTCCTCGCCCTTGGTGCACTCCTACATGTGATTACCTGTGGAGACAGGGCCTTCACAGAGATAATTAAGATGAAGTGCGGTCGCAGGGGTGGGCCCTAATCTGACGAGACTGGAGTCCTTACAAGAAGGGGAGGTTAAGACACAGACAAGTGCAGGGGGCTAAGCACGTGAGAACACAGAAGGTGACCATCTGCAAGCCGAGGAGAGACGACTCAGAGGAAAGCAGGCCTGCTGACCGGAAGAAAACAAATTCTTGTTCAAGCCCCTCAGTCCATGGTGCTTTGTGAAGGCAGCCCTAGCAGAGGGAGTGTCTTCTAACACGTGTGATGTGTCAGGCCCTCTCCTAGGTGTTGGGTATGATCTGAACAGTGACATGTCTGTCTTCAGGGTGCTTAGGTTCCAGTGAGGGCAGCCTTGCATTACATATATTAAATAAGTCAGATATATAGCATGACAGAGAAGGAAGTTAGCTCTGATTATTAATAGCTGCTGATGTGGGATTAAGAGGAAACCACGCTCCTTCATATGAAGACAGGAACCCCTTCCAGGCTTTTGGGATGTTTTTGGTTCTTTGGCTACTTGCATCAACATGACTCCTTTGGACAGGGATTATTATCATAACATTATATTTTAAAAAACAGAATTTTAACAGATGATGTCTTTACCCAAAGAATTGAAATACATGTTGGTAAACCTGTCATTTAATAAGAACATTTCAAATGTATTAAATATCCAGTTTATAAAATGTACTAGATTGGAGGTGAAGAAAATTCTTTTTTAGTAATAATTCAATGAATCATTACTTTTAAATGAGAAATTTCCAGCTGTATTTAAAATATGATTTGATTTATAAGTTACTTTATACACAGTTCTTAATGCCTGTGCTTACATAAAGTGAAGCGTACTTCTGTGAGTGTTAGTGGGACGCTGCTGTGAGAAGGTAGAGAATTTGAGCTGATCATTTTTCTTCACAGGCCTGGAAACTGAGGCCCAAGGGAGATAGGCTAAGTGAGCTGTTGGAGGTGCTGCCTGGCTTGGCTTAATTCTCATTCTACTGTGATTTCTTAGTATTTTCATTTAAGACGCATTTGTTAAGAGTCCTGCATCATTCTATTTGATTTAGAATTCTTCCTCTGGGATGTTGTAATTATTTACTTACTTGTTTTTATTTTATTTATGTTTTTTAAAGTTTTTTTTGGGAGTGGCTCACACCACATGGCATGTGGGATCTTTAGTTCCTTGACCAGGGATCAGACTGGCACTCCCTGCATTGGGAACTCGGGGTCTTGCTTTAACCCCTGAACCACCAGGAAAGGCCCTGTAATTATTTTTTGAACTAATTAAATCATGCAAGAATTTGCACACAAAATGTTTGCTCTAAGTTTTTTGAAATAGCAGTAATTTCTTGAGTATTCTCAATTTGGTAGGGTGTAGGATTAGGTTGTAAAGTGTTTTAAAATGTTATGTATTTAAAAGTATTTTTGTAGCTCCATTTTATGATAAAACAAAAGCCTCAGAGCTCAAATTAGAGGATTAAAGAACAGCAATAAAATACAGATTTCACTCTGTTGCCTGGAAAGGCAGTTATTTTTGAAGTCTGACTGTGGTATGGTAATTCAGACAGGGAGTTCAGAATGTACTACGTTTTGTAATTGCTGTGAAGTACGATGTGGTGGGTAGTGTTATCCCTGACAGAACTGAGGAACTGGGGTGGGCAGGAGTAGGCTTCTCTCGTAATGATGGATTCCTAAATAAGACGTCCAGAGGAAGCTGCATAAACGCTGTGATTAAATAACTATTAGTGAGGAGCCGGCCTCCTCCACTGTGCTAGGATCCCGTCCCCACTCACCCACGCAGAGATCAGCTCTCCTCTCAGCATTCTCTGCTCTCTGCTCCGTCGTCTGTCAGCGTGTCACGCGATGTGCTCTCCTGCTCTCCGTCTGTTCCCTTGACTCTGTTCTTCTCGAGCGCTGTCCCTTTTCTCTGTCCCTCAGTGGCTGCAGAAGGTTGGTTACTTGGTGTTAACAGTATAGGATAAAAGATTATTCCATCCCTTCTTCTCAGGATCAGTTTTCTGTTCCCTGAAGCAAATAGATGATTTAACAGAAAAATCTGAGGAGCCAGTTTCCAAAACTGTTAATGAACTAGTTTGCATTGATGGATAAGTTAGTCGTTTGGTCGGTGGCTTGGCTGTTCATTGATATTTACCAGTCAGAGAGAGTAGATCTTTATAGACCTGTTCTATGTAAGAAGCGTTGAGAGTTGTTCACAGTCTAGGTAGTTGCAGTTGTATCAGTTCATTAATGTATTTCTTACTGCTAGGACATTCACACAACATAATTTACTGCTTTAAAGTGAACAGTCAGGTAGCATTTAGCGTATTGAGAGCGTTGTACAACCACCACCTCTGTCTGACAGAAGTGTTCTAATCACCCCAGAGGCAAAGCCCGTGCCCCCTGAGAGATTGCGTCCCACTTCCCACTCCTGGCCACCACCATTCTGCGTTTTGTCGCTATGGGTTTGCCAAGTCTGGATTTTTCGTATAAATGGAATCATAGAATTATGTGACCTTTTTTGTCTGGCTTTTCTCACTTAGCATAATGTTTTTTGAGGTTCATCCACATTGAGCATGTGTCAGTGCTTCGTTTATTTTTATGACTGAGTGATATTCCGTTGTATGCACAGACCACATTTTTGTTCATCTGTTCATTCATTGTTTCCATCATTTGACTCTTGGGCCACTCTTTGGCTATTTAGAATAGTGCTACCATGAACATGTGTGTACGTGTATTTATCTGAGTACCTGTTTTTTTTTCAGTTCTTTTGAGTATATACCTAGGAGTGGAATTGATACATCAATTTTATATTTAAATTTTTAAGAAACTGCCTACCTTTTCCATAGCAGCTGATGCTTTTATATTTTCACCAGCATGGTTCCAGTTTCTCCACATCCTTGCTGACATTTGTTTTCCTTTCTTTGGATTATAGTCATCCTTGTGGGTGTGAAGTGGTATCTCATTGTGGTTTTGATTTGCGTTTCCCTAATGACTAACAATGTTGAACATCTTCTCATGTGTTTTTTGGTTATTTATGTATCTTCTTTGGGGAACTGTCTGTTCAGATTCTTTGCCCAGTTTTTAATTGGGCTGTTAAATTTCACTGTCAGGTTGTGAGAGCTGTTTATCTATTGTGGACACTAGGCGCTATGTTGAGTCTGTAGACCCGCTTGGGAAGAACTGCCATCTTAGCGATGCTGAGTGTTCTGGTCCATGAGTGCGGGACATCTCTCCCATCTACTTAGGTCTCCTTAGTTTTTCAGTTGTGTTGATTTCAAGTAGATAACTTGTGTTTATTAATGGAGTTGGAAGGATATTACTGAGGCAGGGAGGAGAATGGAAGTGATGTTTTTCATGCCTTCTTGAAAGAGGCAGCCAGTGATGTTACTCTTATTTGGAATTCAAGAATGAAACTTTGGTGCCACATGAAACTTAAACACATTTTATAGTGCATTAGTTCAAACCTAATACAAATCTTTTTTTAAAAAGTGTTCTAGCTCCTAATACAGCGCCTGTACTATCTTTTGATTCTTTTTCTGTGAGAACCTTATTCTTCATAGATTTTTAGCTGGGTATTGGTGCCAGAGTTTTGTTACCGCTCTTGAGGTAAGAACTATAATTACGTTGTCAAAATAATATTTAGAGTATTATTTTCAGAGAATAATTGCAGTGGTGTGACGAATATCTTATGCTCATCAAATTTTATGTAAACATAGGCATGAGTTATTTTAATTGAGTTATTGGTGTTGTTTTTGGCCTTTGTTCTTCCCTAATCTATAAAAATAATGTTGGGCTTTTTGAGGGGCTTTGTAACATTTGCAATATTTACATAAAGATCAGTTGATAAGCTGTTTGGTAAAAGTAAACTGTCATTTGTACTTGCCTTGAGTTTTTTTTCTTGTTTCTAGGACATCTTTAAACCTTTTCCTTCCCAGAATTGTGTTCTGATTCAGAGAGCCAATTTTTAGTTGCCTGATGAGTTGCTGGGTTCGTTGGCTTTCAGACTAACTTATATTGTTGACTCTTCTTGAGTGTGTTAAAATTTTACAAAGATTTCAATGTTAATATTCTGAAATATTCAGAAGAAATATTAATGTCATTTTAAACTATGACAAGATTAAAATGAAGATTTTAAAATTATGAACATTTTATAAAATTTTATTATAGAGTAATTTTTTAAATAAATAAATTTTTAAAAAGGCCTATTTTAATATGCATCTTTGGAGTTACTGTCAAAACTGTTTTTCATCTGATTGCAAAGAGGGTTAGGCAAAAGAAAAATCAGAGTAACAGGATTTACTCCTTAGCTCATCCCTCTGTCCAGTAATTTCTCCTTATTTAATTTCTATAAGAATTTATCTTTTTGTCCAAATTTGACAAATAATGTAAGCCAGCACCCTTTTTCCATCCCATGGCAGGTCATGAGTCAGTCAGGCACTCTTCTTGGCGGACTTATAGAGGAATGTTTAAAAGCTCAAAAAAGTGAGAAGAAAAATAATTGTCGTCGTCTGTGCAGGCTACATTAGACGCTTTTTTCCAGTCATCTTCAGTGTTTGTGTGTAGGGGTGTGAATGTGTGCTTTCAGTCTTGCATCCTGCTTTATTTTAGATTAAATGTTAACTTAATTCAGTTTTGAGGGTCTTGCTTCAGCATTTTGTTTGCATAGTTTTTTTATCTCAGTGTTTTGCTTTCTGGCCACAGTTTCGCAACTCCTCTTTGAGTGGCCCGTTGTCGCCTTGCTCTGAATAAGTGACTAGCCCTCACTGCTCGCATGCTGCAGCCTTCTCCGTCTTCACAGCCGCTCTGCCTCTGAGGTGCTGGAGCAGCAGCGGCGGGCTTTGAAGGGAGGCCTGGGTTCCGGGAGCCTGCGGACAGAGCCCCGCGTGCCCAGCAGAGCAGGCATCTAGGAGGATGGAGGCCTGCAAGTCCTCTGCCCTTGGTGATGTCCCCTGGGCGCTGCCTGGCAGGATTTCCCTTGGGGGAGCAGGGCCTGGTTTCCCCCCAGCTTCCCCTGTGGCTCCTTCCTGATGAGCTGGCCCCGGTCCCTCGGAAGAGCTGCAGCTTGTTCTCACCCGTCCTGCTCCTGCCACTTGCGGGCTTGGTGGCCCGGGCCGGTGACCCGACCTTCTGAGCCGTGGTGACGTGCACAGGGGATGATGCTACCCCCGAGTCCACGACGGTATTGTGGCGTTCAGTGAGATGATGCAGACAGCACACGGGTGTCCGCTCTTAGGAAACAGCACATGCTTGTTACCACTGTCACCTCTGACCTCCCGCCTAGGTTCTCGAGGCTGTGTTCATGCTGGTGTTCGTTCCTCAAAAGTGTCCTGCTGTCTCTACCCAGGTTCTCATCACACTCCATTCTGTATGTATGGGCTGCCCTGGCCCCAAGGGAACCACTTTGGGTCCAGCAAACGGGAGGCTATGGGCGCTGACCCCTCAGCGTGGGTGCCAGGTGTAGCTAGGGCCTGTGGGCACTGGCCTGCGGTCTCAGGTATGAGCTGAGGAGGGGCTGGGGCAGGGGTGGGCGTGCAGGCTTCCACGGCAGTGTCTGTGACCTCAGACTGTATACCAGGATTGGGTGCCCATGAGAAGTGGCTGGCGGGGTGCCCTCCCTGGTCTGGGGCAGTAGCCACTGTGGACCAGGGCCCTGGCTTGTTGCTGACCTGGGCCATGTGCTTGACCACTGTGCCTCCATGTCTTCACCTGTAAAATGGAGATGACGATACCTACCATATGGTGGAAGTTATAATAAATAAGAACGTATGTAAAATAAAACACTTAGAACGGTGTGAGTTGCATTCCTGATTGTCCAGTGTTAAGCTTTGCTCTGGTTCCGAGGCTGTCGTTACGCAGCTTTGAGCTTAGCCGTCTGTGCCGTTCGGTGTTGCTGGGGTAAGGGGTGTCCACAAACTCGTGTCTCCTCTGTGTTCTGTGAGGTTCAGCCAGCAGAGGATCTCATGGGTGAGTGGAGGCAGCAGGAGGAAGAGCGACTGCTCCCTACTTGGGTCTCTCTTGAACAGCCCCTGATCCAGCTCCCTTCCCCTGGGAGCCTTTTGGTTTTCCCTCTGAGACACCTGTCAGCCAGCCTGGCTCTTGCTGAGGCCATGCTCAGGGCTCTAGACGTACCAGCGCGGCAGCCCTTCCCCAGAGGTCTGGGCCCCTCTGGAGCCGCCAGGCTTCTGGGTGCTCAGAGCCTCGTCCTCGTACCCTTGGGCCTCCAGTTTTAAGGGTGGTGACTGGTTGTTTCTGGTAGCCTTAACCTCCGTGTTACCTCAGTCATGCCTTTTTAGTTTAACTAATGGCCATATATTAAATTTTCTTTGTTGAAGGATAGTTCGGCTTCTTTGACGATATGGTCCTGGTGGGTTGAGCTGAGCGTGTTTTCCAAGGCTGTGCTTGACAACATCTTTTCCTGCTCCCGTTTCCCTTCCTGCTGCCCTGGGCCCTTGTCGCTGTCTCTGAACCAGCTGGGGTGCAACCAGGAGACGGAAACCACACTGCAATTCGCATAGGGAAAATTTGAAAGAAAGAATTACTAACTACAACAAAGGCTTGAAATAACAGGGGATTGATACTAAGAAGTAAGGAGAATGCCAAAGAACACAGGAATTGCACACAGGAGGAGCGGCCAGGGCCGCAGGGCTGGGATGAGTGTCTCAGGAGAGGCTCCCCCCCTGCCCCCTGAGGTCTGAGATCCAGGCCTCCTTGGGGAGGGCGCGGTGGTGCTGAAGTTGCTGAGGGCTGATGGTGGTGGAACCTGTTGGACACCCACCCTCTGGGGTGCAGGGGCATGTCGTCCACAGGACGCTTCCAGGACGTGGAACGGGCTTCGAAGCGTCCTGAGGAAGCTCCTGCCACTGAACACTGCTGGTTGTCCTGCTGTGTGCAAGCGCGTCGCTGGAGAAGCTGTTCCCGCAGGAGCTGAGCCCAGAGAAGCAGGAGAAGCCTGGCCAGAGGACGCCCCCAGAACCAGAGGGGAGCTCCCCCTTCCCCACAGGGCGGGCCAGGCCAGCTGATGGAGGAGCTGTCTGAAGGCCCGCCTTCATGTCTGCAGAGCAGGCCCGAGAAGTTAAGAGGCGGCAGTTGGTAGCTGGTTCTCACGCAAAAATAATTCAAATGTGCTTTGTTCACTGATGTAAAGGACTTCAGAGAACCTTTAGTTCCTAGTGTGTTGCGTTCTCATGAATGCTTTGTTATTTTCCGACTGAAATTTTTGCCAGTCTGGTGTGTGTGTAGTACAATCTTGTGGTTTTCCCATGGGCTTTAGTGCTTTTTCCTATATACGTATGTGTATGTAGACACATGGACTTCCCGGTGGCTCAGCGGTAAAGAATCTGCCTGCCAAGCAGGAGATGTGGATTTGATGATCCCCTGGAGAAGGAAATGGCAACCCACTCCAGTGTTCTTGCCTGGGCAATCCCATGGACAGAGGAACCTGGCGGGCTGCAGTCCATGGGGTTGTAAAGAGTTGGACACAACTTGGCGCCTGAACAGCAATAACACCTACACATATATATGTTCTGTGGGTTTGGACAGATGTGTAGCACATGTATCGATCATTGTAACATTGTGTAGAGAAGTCTCACTACCCTAAAAACCCTCTGCTCCACCTGTTCACAAACCCGCTCCTGTCCCCTAACCCCTGGCGGCCACTTGTCTTCTTACTGTCTCCATAGCTCTGTCTTTTCCAAAATGTCGTAGAATTGGACTCATGCAGTATGTAGCTTTTTCAGATTGGCTTTTCATTTGGTAATATGTGTTTGATGTTCCTTTTCATAGCTTGGTAGCTCATTTCTTTCTAGTACTGAATAATACTCCTTTGTCTGGATGGACCTCAGTTTATTTATCCATTTGCCTACTGAAGGACGTCTTGGCTGCTTCCAGGTGTTGGCAGTTAGGAGTAAAGTTGCTGTAAACATTCATGTGCAGGGTTGTATGGGCATACATTTTCATTTACTTTGGGTAAATACCACAGAGTACGATTGTCGAGTTGTGTGCTAAGAGTATGTTTGGGTTTGTAAGGAGCCACCAGACTGTCTCATGAAGTGGCTACGTGAGCCTCATTCCCACCCGCAGTGAACCAGCATTTCCTGCCACTCCATGTCCTTGCCTGCACTTGACAGCATGCTGGGTTTTGTCCAGAATTCTGCAGTTTTATTTGTTGAAATAGTCTAAATATGTCAACCAAGTTGTTACTAAATCTTACTCAAATCTTCTAAATATGCTGATCGTTGTGTCTGTTTGTTTTATAATTTACTGGGAGGAGTATATTGTTATTGCTGAATTTAACTGAATTTTTCTCTTTGCTCTATACTTTTGTCTGTTTTTCTTTTATATATATTTGATTATATATATAATATTTGATATAAATTTGATAATAATATATATATTATTAGGTGATTCCAATTTAAAATTGTGCCTTTCTGATAAATTAATTCTGAAATGACTTTTTAAAAAACCTTCCAATAATGTTTTTTGCCTTAAAGTTCATTATGTCTGATTTTAAGTGGTGTATGACTACCTTTGTAGCCTAGTATTTGCTTCTGTAGCTTTGTATTTTACATGTATGTTTTAAATCCAATCTAAGGGTGACTGTTTCAATTGGAACACATATTCCAGTGATGTTTAATGTGATTACAGGTAAATTTGTGCCTACACTTACAGTCTTTTTTAAAATTTAATTAATTTTGTATAAGAATATTGTTTTGGTGAGGGCTTTCCTGGTGGCTCAGTGGCAAAGAATCCACCTGCCAATACAGGAGACTTGGATTTGATCCCTGGGTCAGGAAGGTCCCCTGGAGAAGGAAATGGCAACCCACTCCATTATTCTTGCCTGGGAAACCCCATGGACAGGGGAGCCTGGTGGGCTACAGTCTCTGGGATCACACAGAGTCAGGCATGACTTCTAGACTAAACAACAGCAGCATGTATGGTTTTGGTAAGGTATTTTAATATTGACGTTATGCCCAAAGTTTCACTGTGGTGAGAGACTTTCGTAGTTGAGAGAAGCTAACAGACACTTCTTGTTGAATAATATGAGAATATTTCTTCTTAGGATATATTTTTAGTGAGTTAAAACTCTTTTCGTCACAAATCTGTTTTGCTCTTGTCAACCCTCAGCATTTCGCTGTGGCCTGCAGTTTCTAGGGAACATCGCCTCACGGAATGAAGACTCCCAGTCTGTTGTTTGGATGCATGCATTCCCAGAGCTCTTCTTGTGAGTATATTGATAAGAGTTTTTCTGACTTCTGAGAAGGTTGTAGTTATATCACTCCACTTATGTGAAGTTCCAAAACAGGAAGAGCTAACCTTGGTAATAGAACTCAGGACGGTAGTTGCTCTTGGTGGGTGGTGGCGAGTTCTGCTGGGAGAAGGCGTGAGGGCGTCTCCGGGTTGGATGTTCAGCATCTTGATCTGGGTGGTGGCCACATAGGTGTGTGCATACCTAGTAATTCACTGGGCTGTATACTTAAGGTGTGTGCCCTTCATCATGTGTCGGTTTTTACTTTATGTGAATAAATGTTTTGGTTAAAGTAAATATCATTAAGGATACTTTTTAATAAGGAAAAAATTTAAAAGAAAAAATGATAAAGCATTGAAGTATGGGTGATGAATTAATCACATATTTATTGACATTTCTTATGTGCTCAATACAGTGCTGTGCATTTTGGTAGATATGGACAAGTGTAAGAGGTTGGAAGATCAGTGTGTTTGTCTCAGTTGGTTCATGGCACTGTTTCTGGTGCTTAATGCTTTGCGTTGCTCAGCCGTGTTGGCGCATAAGAAATGGAGCCTTGAGATGCAAAGTGGGCTGGTGGTGGCCATAGGAAAGCCCTGGCCAGGAGCAGGAGGCTTGCCTCTGATCCAGGGTCCGCTGCCACCCAGGGGTGTCTTCTGTGGTGGCCACAGTGTACGCACCAGAGCAGCGGCTGTTCAGATCCCCGGAGTGCTGTCACAGTGTATTTCCCGTCCTGTATAACATCCCTGTGCTTCCCTGGGGGCTCCGCCGTAGAGAATCCACCTGCAGTGCAGGAGACATGGATTTGATCCCTGGGTGGGGAAGATCCCCTGGAGAAGGGAATGGCAACCTGCTCTAGTATTCTTGCCTGGGAAATCCCATGGACAGAGGGCAGGCTCCACGACTTAGTGACTGAACAACAACAACAACGTACTTGCAGGGCAGGCGGTACTGTCCCCATCTGGACAAATGATGGAACTGATGCTTATCATTGATAAATGGTGCAGCTGCAGCGGGAGCCCAGTGCTGCCCTTGGGATCCAAGTCTACACTTTTGAAATACCAGCTGCCCAAACTCTGTGCCGTGATTGTGTAGGTTTTCTGGGCTCATCTCTACAGAGTTAGGATGAGGTAAATGCTCGTGTTATCTCTAGCTCACTGTGTTGGTAACTGGTTCTCAAACTCCTGCAGATACTAGAGTTGAAGGCAGAAAATCTTCATGGTTAGTAATAATTGAGCTTAGGTTGGAAGGAAGAGTTGTGGAATTCAAGCTATAGAAATAAACACTGCTCACTTTTGATAATGTGTTCCTTGAAAACTCTCTGAGCATCTCATATCTGCCAAGTTCTGAACTAGCTGATTGGAGGAAGGGTAACTTAGGATATCCACTACTCCCCAAAGCCCATACTGGAGACATGTCATTGTGTAAGAAGGGATGTGACTCGGGAGGCCAGGTGTCATAGGAACACAGGAGAGGTCCTGAACAGGGCAGCCGGAGTTTACCTGGTGGTTTTTTTTTTTTTTACCTGGTGGTTTTACATTGGTTTCAGACCTGGTACTATCGTGTTCCATTTTTGTGTCAAAAAACACACTGAAACAAGTTATGTGACTTCACTCTATGCGTTTGTGAGACAGATACAACCAGGTTTGAACTCAGCTTTGGCAGGTATTGGCTTTGTGCCCTTGGGCAAGTAAAGTCAACACATTCTTCATCTGTGAAAAAGGGTACTACCTCCTCCAAAAGAGTATTATGAGGTTTAAATGAAAAGAAGTCCTGCCATAGTGCATGACCGTAATAGAATTGACAGTTGATAATGTAGTGACACTTTTAAGGTCACACACCTGATAAATGGAGGAACCAGGAGTTATCCTGAGGCTTTTGACTCCCAAGTTCTCCATCTATCATCTTTCCCTGGCACATTCTGTCTCTCAAACTGTTAAAGAAATGCCTATAGTCTTGGAAGTATCTTTTTTTGCCTTTTAATTTTTCTTGCTAATAAGAATGAGCGTTTCAGTGCTTTATAAATTAATCACTTTATTTTTTTCTTTAAGCAGATGTTATTTGCTTTTTGCTTCTGAGTCAACTGCAGCTTTCATATCGGATACTTTGTTTTGTGACTAATTTTATATTTGCTATTTTTGCCAGAAATAATGTTTCAAAGTTGTTATTCTTCATTAAATCCTTAGAAATGTCAGTGTATACTGAATTTGTTAGTTGGACTATTGTCATTTATGAGTTGTCATATTTTATTATTGGGCTAACACCCTGATTTCTTTATTTGGAAGATCTTGCCTAAATCATCCAGACAGAAAAATTGTTGCCTACTCGTCAATGATTTTGTTCACGTCCCTGAATTCTGAAAGAATGAAGGAGCTGGAAGAAAACCTCAACATTGCGATTGATGTCGTGGAAGCTCACCGGAAGCAGCCTGAGTCGGAGTGGCCGTAAGTGTCTTGTGAGACAATGCGGCTGCTTGAGAACATGCTGACGCCACTGTCCTGGTAAAGGTTCTGAGCACAAACTTGAATTACAACAATTGAACAATAAGTTAAAGTTTAACATATGTTGAAAAAAACAAGAAAAGCCTTAGGAATGGATCCCATTTCTAGCCCTTTTTGTTTGTAAAGTAAATATGTCTTTCTCTGATGCCCTTTCTACTTGGACTTCTGCTTTGGATGGAGTGTATTTTTGATCCTCTCCCAAGGTAATTTGTTCTGTTTTTCCATAAAGTTGGAGTATTACTTACAGGCTGTAAAATGTCTTTGTGGCATTTTATGTTTCAGATTAGTGGGACCCCACCTCCCTCATAAAATATTACCACAAAATTTTTGCATTTACAGAAGTAGTAATTCTATAAGAATTTATAAATTCTATAAGAATTTAATCACACATTTGAATTTTGTCACTTAGAAAATGTTAACCATGATTGGATCTCTTCTGGTTATGAAAGTCTTTATCTTTGGTTCTTCCCTGGAGCAGATATTGGGTAAGAAAGTCAGTGTGATGAAATCTGAGTGAAAGTTGAGAGTTTACTTGTAACTTTGTGAAGCAGCCTAGGACAGAGAGTAATATTATATTTAGAAAAACAGGCCCAGCAGCTAACATAATAAAAACTTACCAGGTAATCGACAACTATTTAAATGACCACTTTTGAGTTGTAAGGAAAAAACCTACCTTCCACTGGTATTCCATCTTCATTGCTTTGTGTGTATAATATTGTTTGCAGCCAGGATTATGACATTCAGTGTTGTGCCGTAAGGTAATGTAGCAAAGAATTCCAGTTGTCTGTATGGGTGTCCAGACAGAATACTTTTTTTCCTGCCTATATTTGTATTGATAAATTATGAATGACAGTTGTTATCCTTTAAATAGTTCTACAGTGAAAATGGGGCTTCCCCGATGGCTCAGTGGTAAAAGAATCTGCCTGTGATTCAGGAGACATGGGTTTGATGCCTAGTTTGGAAAGATTCCCTGGAGGAGGAAATGGCAACTCACTCCAGTGTTCTTGCCTGGAGAATTTCATGGACAGAAGAGCCTGGTGGGCTACAGCCCATGGGATCACAGAGTCGGACACGATTTAATGACTTAACAATAGCAAGAGCACACTGCTCTTCTTTCTCTCATGTTGCCTCTTCAGGTCCTTTTCTGTCACCTCTAATTTAAATGTTCTTCCTTCCCTCTTCAACTAGGGATTCACCGACTCTTGATTTCCCTGCCCCATCCATTACCTCTCTCCCCACCACCCTCCAGCCCTCTCCTTAGATAAACTCTGCTGTTCCTGTAATCCATGATGTGTGTCTGTATGTTACACTGAAGACGTTTTTCTCTGATTACCTATCTGTGCATGTGTCTTTCTTCACTGTTAAGAGTTTGGAATTGGGGCTGGGACCTAGCCCCTTACACACAGTATTTGGAACATTGCATTTTTGAATGAAAGTTCTTGAGGGAAGATATTTTGAGCTCCAAGTAGGTGGTTTATGAATGAGCTTTAGGATCACAGTTTGTATGTCTGGCTTGATAGGCTGAGCTTCTGTTGTCGCACTTAGATGACCTGCCTAAGTTGATGTGAAAATTGAGAATCTTGAATATTATTCATTTTGTTAGAAATATTTTATGTCGGTGTTGTTCAGTTATTTGAAAGGTTATGGGAGAAATAGAATATGTGTTTCGGTTTTGTTTTTATGTGGAGTGACGCTATGTTATGGTAGTTAATATGTTTCATTTGACTATCATAACTTAAAAGGTATACTTGTACGATGTTATTTACTAAGAAGTGATTAAACTGTGTTTGTCAATATAGTTAATGCTTTACTGTCATGCTTAGTACTAACCTTGGTTATGAGCAGTATATTCCTTAGTTCTTAAGTCTTCAGATACCCTCTGGTAAATATGATTCAGAGTTAATTAATAGTACTCCTCAATCTTTTTAGTTGTCAGAGTAGTACTTTGAAGAAGTATGCTTATAATCTTTGCCTCAGGGCTTCCCCAAGTTGATCTCTGAGTTTCGATGAGTGCATTGCTTGACAGTGAGGATGTTTTCGTGGTAACTTGAGAGTGCTTAAGGAGTAGATAATCAAGCCAGAATTCATGACTGTTGGTGGCATATGTTTCAGTAAAAAGTAGGACATGTCTGTTTCTCTGGTTAATCTTAACACTACGCTTTTGACTAAAACAGTTTAACGTGTTTTGTTATACCTGAGCTTGTAGCTAAATTTCATTTTATCATTTAAACTACAGTGAACTATTTCCTTTTGTAACTTAGATATTAGTAAAAACTATGGTAGGACCTTTCCTTGAATTTAATAAATTTGAATCACTGCGATAAAGTTTTTAGAAGTAAAATTGGAGAAAAGTATTTTGAGGGTTTTTATTTTCTTTTCACTGCTAATGGAAAAATAGTATGTGACCCTCTTAAAACATTTGAAGATTAATTGAAGCTAATCAAAAATTCAACAGGAGTACTTTATGTATAAACTATGCTTATAAAGTAGATGAGGCCTTGTCTGTTTTACTATGTTTCTAGTAACCTAACCCTTTCCTCCTTTTCTCTTAGGTTCTTGATTATTACAGACCATTTTCTGAAGAGCCCGGAATTGGTTAAAGCCATGTATGCCAAAATGAGCAATCAAGAAAGGTAACCCCAAAAACCAGTGTGGTTTTGAGTATTTAGCATTCCATATAGAGTATCCTGTACACATGACCGAGAAACTGTGTGGTTTCTCAGTTGGCACAAAATCTCTAAATACATGCTTCTGTGTCGGTAATGGTTTTAAATTGGTTGGTTAACATTACAGCTCAGCCACAACAGCAGCGATTTACCGAGCGTTGCAGAATCCAGGTTGGCGCCATGACTCAGTAAAGCCATATCGAAAAACGTGGAGAACAAAACGTTAGGCTTGTCCTTCGTGTTTAAAGTAATTCCTGCATCTGTGTGTTAGAGCTGTACAGATGGAGTGTGCTCATTTGTTCATATCCCTGTTGTCAGGATTCAGGACCCACTCTGCAGCTTTGCATTTTTCCAGTGTGTGCTTCAGAATGAAAGGAAATCAATACGTGTCTTTGGCCTTCACTGCCGTGTAGTGGGCGGGGCTGTGCCCTCGGAGCCCAGAGACCGTGACACCTTGGCCCTGCGCCTTGTTGTCTGGGTGACCTCGGCCAGGTCTTTCACCTTGTTTTCAGTTTCCTGGCCTATAAAATCAGAGGAGTGAGTAAAGTGATCCTAGGACTCTGTCCATCCCCAAAGTGTATGTTTTTCCTAACCTGATTGGAAATGTTGCCTTAGGAAAATAAAACCTATTCAGAAATCAGCGATCTAATGATCAAAAACCTTAAAAAATGTTAATCTCTTGATTATAGTTACAATTTTTATAATTGCTGTGGTTTTGAAATTCTTTCAGTGCATTTGGGTTCCAACAGTTAATCTTTATGCACTTCTTTGTAGTCTTGTTAAGTAGTGTTTTTTTGTTCTTTGATATCTTTAACAAAAAGGAAAAGTTCATGCTTTTAAAATTCATTTAAATGCCATATTTATAAATCCAGTACCCCTACCACCACCACATATGCATACTTCTCCTGCAGAAAAAGAATTAAAATAAGTAATGTGAAGACCAGTGCTATAAATTAGTACATTGCTCTGCAGTAAGGAACATCCGAAAACAAGAACACACAGTTTCATTGTATTTCAATATCCAAACTTGTTTTTCACATGTTCCTATCAAATGATCTTTTGTTAACTGGTCCATTTCCTAACCCAGTGAAGATGACGGACTAAACATTTCCCATTTTTATTACAGAAACTGCAGCCACTGCTTTGCAGCGTCATACAGATTTCTTGCTCAGATGTCCCCTCCCCTCCCCCATTATTTTTCTTCCAAAGGAGAAATACTTCTATTTCTCACACACCTGCTGGCTAGTGTGTGACAGTAGCATTGGATTGTTAGTGTGAGGGCCAGGATTTGGTCTTTTATATTCTGTGCTGTCCGTGTTTCCTAACCAGTGCTTGGCACATGATAGGTGCTAAAAAAAGTTTTTGAATGAAAGCTTGGGTGACTGAGTGGATTTTCTCACTAGTGTACTTATTACTTTAACATCACCTCCTGGGTTGGAAAACTCAGTGCTCTCCCCGCCGCCGCTGCCTCCACCTCTCAGTTTCCCTTGGTCAGTAAGCCTTACCACCTCGACCATCTTAGTATGTGGCAGATTCATTTCTGTCACAGCTCTGGTTTACATACCATCTTTGACTAGACATGGGCTTTAGTGTATTTAAAAACTGTGATAAAATACACTTAATACAGGATTTACCATTGTAACCTTTTAAAAATGTGCAGTACGTTGTTGTGCAGCCAGTCTTCAGAACTGTTTCATCTTGTATGATTGAAACTGTGCCCTTTGGGAACTTGCTTGGGGGCCCGGTGTTCAAGAATTCACCTTGCAATGCTGGGGATGCAGGTTCGATCCCTGATCGGGAAACTATGATTCCTCGTGCCACAGGGCAACCTGAGAGCTTGCATGCCGCAAGGAAGAACCCAAGAACACAGCTAAGACCTGATGCAGCCAAAAATTGAAAAAAGAAAAGTCTACCCATTAAACAGCTGCCCATTTCTCCCTCCTCCAGCCCCTGGAAACCACTGTGCTACTTTCTGTTGCTGTGAATTTGATTCCTCTAAGTATGGTTGACGCTTGAACAACTCGAGGGTTTAGCGGTGCCGACCAGCAGTGCAGTGGGAAATCCAAGTGTAACTTACAGCCAACCTCTGCATCCGAGGGTCCTCCACATCCTCAGGTTCAACTGCCTGCAGATGGTGTCATGCGGTGGATCCTGTTTCCTGAAAAATCCCATGTCCGTGTGGGCCTTGGCAGGTGCTGCCTGTGTTCCCTTGGCTCTCCTGAGTTGCCCAGGCAAAGTTATTTGCATCCTCACCTGCGCATCTATCCTGATTATTTGCTTTTCTGCTGGAATATGTATTCTTTAAGGACAAAGACCGAATCTTGTGAGTTCTCTCTTCTTAACACCTGCCAGAATCAGTACTGGAACATTACTGCAATGGGAAACTCTACTGATACCAAATACTTACTGAAGCATCTCTTCAGGATGCTGACTCTGTCGATACTGTGGACCACAGATGACCGCATCCGCCAGGAGGACATGGTTTGCTGCTGTAGGCCTGGTGTGGCTCGGCTGGTTCAGGTGAAGTCCGCTGTGGGAACTGCTGGGCCTGGCAGCTTGTCTTTGTTCAGTGGCAGGAGGAGGGGACTGGGGCTTTACAAGAGCGCTCAGAGGTCTGTGGAGAAGTGGAGGCTGCTGGGTTCCCTGGTATCTTGTTTTGGGCAATGATGGATAATTCTTCAGAGTGCCGTGCTGACGGAAGACAAGTTTTTCTCCATGGGGATGTTTGGTGAGACTGATTGTGCCGCTTGTTTCTGGAGTGATGCGCCACGCCGTCCTGTGAGGACTGAGCAGACAGGACAGGTCCGCCTCCCGGGGTTCAGATGAGGGGCTGCGCTGAGGATTTCCGGGGCGCTTGTGGCGTCTCGGCTGGGGACACACAGCAGTCTACTGAGGAATGCCCAGGCTGTGGCCCCAAGCTGCTGAACTAGAGAATCCAGTCGGGTTGGGGGCTGTTAGCATTGAGCCCCTGCTCGTGGCCCCTGGGGCCTGAGGGTGTGAAGGGTGCCCCCTCCCTGCCCCCGGCGTGGGTGTGTAAGTGGGGAAGCGCCGCTTTCTTGTGCTGGCTCTTCTGGTGTCATGGTGAGTTGACTCCTTCACCTTGGTAGTTTATTTGGACTGATTACTGGGTGAAGATATTTTGGATACAGGGTTAAAGTCAACTCACATAGTATGATTATGCAGAAATGAGTGCCTGCGTTTATACAGTTTCCTATTTCCCCTTCCCAGTGAATTGGAGTGATACTGAATTAAACTAGCTGCTCCTGGAAACCAGCTTGTGTAGTTGCCAGGTTTATAATCTGTGTTGTGTTCTTGTTCAGTTGCTTAGCTGTGTCTGACTCTTTGCGACCCCATGGACTACAGCACATCAGGCTTCCCTGTCCTTCACCGTCTTCTAGAGTTTACTCAGACTCATGTCCATTGAGTCAACGATTGTATCCAACCATCTCATTCTCTGCCACCCCCTTCTCCTTTGCCTTCAATCTTCCCCAGCATCAGGGTATTTTCCAGTGAGTCAGCTCTTCACATCAGGTAGCCAAAGGATTGGAGCTTAAGCCAAGCTGTCTGCAGAGTTACAGTCTGTACAGCACAGGGTGTAAGAGCGGAGGCTAGCTGGTGCCAGTTAGTGTCTCTCTCCTTTGGGTACGTTACTCTTGGAGCTTTGTCATCTGTAAAATGCGGATAGTAACGGTAGGCACCCCATGAAATCATTGTGGTTACTAACTGAAATAAGCATGAAGCTCTCAGTGTTGGCATGTAATCATCACTTAGTAAAAGTGAGTTGGTATTTCTGCTTGCATGTTTCTATTATTACTACTACTCTGGTGAGCTTGACTTTTTCCTCCAGGTAGCATCGCTGTTATGTATGGAGGCAGCATGCAACCATTGTCCTTTACTCCTCAGAGAGACCTTCTGAAATAGTTGTATTCTTGCCGTGTTTTCACATCAGGTATCTGAGACTTTTAAGGTTGAGGTGTTTGCCCTGGTTCACAGAGGTAGCTGAGGTGGTATTTGAACTCAGTATGTCTGATGCCAAAGTCATTGATCATTTTCCCTGTAATGCAATAGCTTCTCATATATGTAATTTATGACTGGATTAATGAGATTAATTCAGCAACAGCCTATATCTTGCTTAGCCTGTTGTCCAGGTTAATGAAAGTTTTGGCCTTGTGGCATGCCATTCAACAAATCATACAGGTGGAGTCGTTCAAATATAAATTGAGAATTTGTTGGAGATGTCAGTCTTTGAATTACAGGTATTTTATTTCCAGAATTGTAAGATACTGTTTCCTACCCCAGAATGCTTGTAAAACTCCCTCTTTCATTTTTCCCTCATCCTTTGCCCCCTCACTCCAGTCCTCTCATAACTACCCATTTTAGGACGGTGCAAGCACAGCTCTTGAGATTGTAGACTGCATCAACTGAATCATGACTTTAAAATATGAATCTTGATGTAGATTTTTTCCATAAAACTGTTCCTGTGTGCATTGCTATCAGTTTTTTTATGAAACAGGAATTGTCATTTTGAGGACAGAGTATGTAACTCTCAGAAGTGCATTAGAAGTAGGCTGCTCCTGATAGCCAGTGATGCAGGGGTTAGTTGAGGGGTGTGTCTGGGGGGCCCGAGGCAGCTCCTGTGGTGATTTCTGGGTTGAAGGCAGTGAGACTGAGTTATTGTGATAGCTTTGGACAGCCGGTCTCTGACCTCTGACTGGGTCTTTCTGGTTTTGCAGCCTTCACTTCTGGGTGAATGGATCTCTTAGACCGCTCGTGCTCCGTTATGTTTTCAAGAAAGTGTTTAGTATGGTTCCCCCACGACTGCAAGAAGTAAGACATTCCCCATTATGTCCCATTTCCCCTGACTCTGCAGTACTTCTCAACACACACATGTTTTCTGGCGTAGAGATGGGGCTTGCAAAGGCAGTGCACAATCAAAATAAATGCCTCTGAAGAAAGATTTCCTACTCAAGTTCTATGTCCTGTGTGTGATTCCTTTATTTTATGAGAAGGATGGGATTTTTGTTTGTTTGTTTGTTTGTCTGTGTGTTTTTTGTTTTTCTTGGCTGCACCGCATGGCTTGTGGGATCTTAGTTCCCCAGTCAGGGTTTGTACCCAGGCTCTTTCCAGTGAAAGCAGGGAGTCCTAACCACTGGACTGCCAGAAAATCCCTGACAAGGATGATTTGGATGGTGGCTAGAAGCAGAAGGAGTTGGAGAGTTCGGTGGGGACTCCGGGTGGGAGGACCCCATCTTCCAGACTAAAGTTTTTAGACCCACTCCCCGACAGTGGGAGCCCTTAAAAGTTTTTATTGCTACATGGCTTTAATATAAGTAGGATCATTTAATGAAGTATAATTTATTCCCAGGTTCTTTTCAAGCTTGGTGTCTTATCTTTTTATATTTTAAACATTCACCCCTGATTTTTTTTGTTCAAAATCACTCCCTTCCTGTCTCTTAGCTCTCCGATCTCAGGATCACCTCATAGAGTGGAGAGGCGCCCCTCCTGAAAGAGGAGATGGCCGGGGGCAGCGCTGCGTCGCGCAGGCAGCCAGCAAGTCTGCGTTTACCTGCCACGTAGGGCAGCCCCCCTCAGCGGGGCCCTGGTACCCCAGGGCCTTCCTGTGGCTAACGGGTTGCCTCGGTTACCACTACCCTATGGCCTGCCTCTGTCCTGACTCACCCAGTTCTTCAGGATCTGCTGCTTCCTCATTCAGCATCTGCGTGCTGTTGGTCCTTGCCCCCAGTCAGGACCTGTTTGTCTGTTCCTCATTCCTCTTCACCCTGTTCTGAGTGATCGTCCCTGGGTGCTAGGATCATGCCTTCTTAGACCTGGTAATACCTGCCACATTATCCCAACTTACAGGGAATATCTTTAGGGCAGACCTGCAAGTTCCTCTTGAATCACATGTCCTACGTGGCCTCTTCCCTGGCCTCTTGGAGGTTGTCCTCCTCAGGGGAGGTGGGAGGCCTGGCATTGTGGCCGGAGCACCCTGTTGTCTTCAAGGATTATATGTGAATTAGAGAAAACAGACGTATCTGAATGAATACTGAACTATTCATTGTTCTTCTGTGCTCAGTTGAGGGGATTATTTGTTTTATTTTGGATTAATAACTGCTGTAAGAAATGTGAAGTTTTAGGACTTTTGAAAATCGCTAAGCTCTGTGGGTGATTTTCACAGACTAATGATCTTTCTGAAGAGGCTTTACAAATAGCTGTGAAAAGAGGAGAAGTGAAAAGCAAAGGAGAAAAAGAAAGGTATACCCATTTGAATGCAGAGTTCCAGAGAATAGCAAGGAGAGATAAGAAAGCCTTCCTCAGCGATCAGTGCAAAGAAATAGAGGGAAACAATAGAATGGGAAAGACTAGAGATCTCTTCAAGAAAATTAGAGATACCAAGGGAACATTTCATGCAAAGGTGGACTCAATAAAGGACAGAAATGGTATGGACCTAACAGAAGCAGGAGATATTAAGAAGAGGTGGGGCAAGAATACACAGAAGAACTGTACAAAAAAGATCTTCATGACCCAGATAATCACGATGGTGTGATCACTCACCTAGAGCCAGACATCCTGGAATGCGAAGTCAAGTGGGCCTTAGGAAGCATCACTATGAACAAAGCTAGTGGGGGTGATAGAATTCCAGTTGAGCTATTTCAAATCCTAAAAGATGATGTTGTGAAAGCATTGCACTCAGTATGCCAGCAAATTTGGAAAACCCAGCAGTGGTCACAGGACTGGAAAAGATCAGTTTTCATTCCAATCCCAAAGAAAGGCAATGCCAAAGAATGTTCAGACTATCTCACAATTGCACTCATCTCACATGCTAGCAAAGTAATGCTCAAAATTCTCCAAGCCAGGCTTCAGCAATATGTGAACCGTGAACTTCCAGGTGTTCAAACTGGATTTAGAAAAGGCAGAGGAACCAGAGATCAAATGCCAACATCTGTTGGATCATCCAAAAAGCAAGAGAGTTCCAGAAAAACGTCTATTTCTGCTTTATTGACTACGCCAAAATGTGTGGATCACAATAAACTGTGGAAAATTCTGAAAGAGATGGGAATACCAGACCACTAACCTGCCTCTTGAGAAACCTGTATGTAGGTCAGGAAGCAACAGTTAGAACTGAACATGGAACAACAGACTGGTTCCAAATAGGAAAAGGAGTATGTCAAGGCTGTATATTGTCACCCTGCTTATTTAACTTCTATGCAGAGTACATCATGAGAAACGCTGGGCTGGAAGGAGCACAAGCTAGAATCAAGATTGCTGGGAAAAATATCAATAACTTCAGATATGCAGATGACTCCACCCTGATGGCAGAACATGAAGAACTAAAGAGCTTCTCGAAAATGAAAGAGGAGAGTGAAAAAATTGGCTTAAAATTCCGCATTCAAAAACTAAGATCATGGCATCTGGTCCCATCAATTCATGGCAAATAGATGGGGAAACAGTGGCTGACTTTATTTTTTGGGCTCCAAAATCACTGCAGATGGTGATTGCAGTCATGAAATTAAAAGATCCTTACTCCTTGGAAGGAAAGTTATAACCAACCTAGATAGCATTTTAAAAAACAGAGACATTACTTTGTCAACAAAGGTCCATTTAGTCAAGGCTATGGTTTTTCCAGTAGTCATATATGGATATGAGAGTTGGACTATAAAGAAAGCTGAGTGCTTAAGAATTGATGCTTTTGAACTGTGGTGTTGGAGAAGACTCTTGAGAGTCCCTTGGACTGCAAGGAGATCCAACCAGTCCTTCCTAAAGGAGATCAGTCCTGGGTGTTCATTGAAAGGACTGATGTTGAACCTGAAGCTCCAATACTTTGGCCACCTGATGTGAAGAGCCGACTCATTTGAAAAGATCTTGATGCTGGGAAAGATTGAGGGCAGGAGGAGAAGGGGACAACAGAGGATGAGATGGTTGGATGGCATCACCCATTCATTGGACTTGAGTTTGGGTGAACTCCGGGAGTTGGTGATGGAGGCCTGGCATGCTGCAGTTCATGGGGTCACAAAGAGTCGGACACGACTGAGCAACTGAACTGAACTGAACTGAGTGATCTTTCCCTGCATTTGGTCAAAATACAGGGAGAGTTCAGCACGTTTTATTTTCTACTTGAAGCAGTAAATCTTATTTTTCTCTTAGTGAGACATGCTTCCTACCTAATGCAAGTGTATTTTCCCCTATTTGCTAAGCATTTTAGATATTTGTATCATTTCTGATAGAGGAATAAGTGAGAATTATGCATTACCAGAAATAATCCAAACTTGAGTACACTTTTGAGAAACATTCTACTTGATTTATGCTGAATAGAGTGCTCTTGTGTATGACTTGTTTTTCCTGAGCGAAGGGAAGAGATAGTTGAAATATTTCATGTAAATAGAAATATTTACATGATAGTTTAAATATTGAAGCAAAAATGGTATTGGTTTGGTCTTCAGATTTGTGTTTTCATAAAGTAAAATAATGAAGCAAACTACAAAGCCAGCCTTCACAAGGAAGATAGTTAAATGAGTGGGCTAAAGGTTTAGCCCAGGAGACAGAGGCTGACTCCTGTGCTTGGGTCCTGACGTGACAGTCAGTGCCGGTGACACTGGGCAAGTAAGTTAGTTAACCTTACTGAGCCTCATTCACCCCTTTATTGTGGGGGCCAGTGACAGTACCTGCCTCTGAAGTTTCTATGTAGATGAAAGGAGAAAATGTATGTAAAATGCTGTTAGCTCAATAGTAAATAGTGAATAAAAAAGTTAGCCCACTTAACTTTGCTGTTGGTACAAGAGATGATATATTGTATAACTTACCTTGACGGCATTATTGAAATGTAGAATTTTATTTCACAGCTCAAAGTAATGGATATAACAAGGTGCTTATTTCTGTAGCTAAGTCACAGCAAAGAAGTCAAGATTTTGAAACATAGGTAATTGATTAATTGTATTCACAAAAAATAATGTTTTCCCTAAGCAGACATTATAAATAAGTTAGGAATTTAAAAATAAAAGTACTCTCTTAAAATGGTCTCTATAAATATTTTTGGTATTCTACAATTTCAGTGTTACATATTCATGTTAAAATCGTCTCTGTTTTACAGGGTTACATTGTTAGACCTTATGATCGCCAAAATCGTGGGCGATGAGCCACTGACCAAGGATGACGCCCCTGTGTTTTTGAGCCATGCTGAGTTGATCGCGAGCACTTTTGTGGATCAGTGCAAGATTGTGCTGAAACTGACCTCTGAACAGCACGCTGACGATGAGGTGAGAGAACAGAGAGGTTTTCTGACTCAGCCAGGTCCTTGGTGGTAAAAACTTTTAAATATTATGTAAGGAACCTACCTACTGGGGACTGAATGTTTGTGGCTGGACCTCCTCTGAAGTTCCTGGTCAGAACCTGGTGCCCAGGGTGATGGTGTCAGGAGCAGGGCCTTTGGAGGCAGTTGGGTCATGAGGGCCTCACGGATGAGGTTGTAGAAGATAGCCTGGAAAGTGTCCATACCCCTCCCACTACGTGAGGCCACAGTGAGAAGTCGTCCCTCTGCAGCCCTGAAGAGGGCCCTCCCCAGAACCCAGCCGGGCTGACACCGTGATCTTGAACTTCCAGCTTCCGGAACTAAGAGAAATAAATGTTGTATATGAGCTACCCTGTCTGGTATTTGGTTATAGCAGCCCAGGCTAAGACAGTATTATTTTAGAATGGTTACGAAAATACAGATTAGGGAAAGCAGTGCCCTGATTCTTACCATCCTGAGTTAATGACTTAAGAAGCTGTAATGAATGTATCTTCTAGGCAGTCAGCATCAAATATGTGCATGCACACACATACACAGGTGTGTATAGAGAAATCATTTTATGCTGCCTGTTTGTAAGTTCCTGTATTTTCTTCTCCTGAGTGTGAAAAAGCTGCATGAGGGCAGAAGTTTTGACGGTAATGTTCCTAGAACTATGCACAGAGTAGGCACTTAGCAAATATCTGCTGAATGCATAAATAAAGAATACATGGTGAATGTCTTAAAATGCTTGCATAGCATTCTGTGTAAAGAATTTGTCATAATTGGACATTTGAGTTGTCCTTATTTCTGTTTGTTACAGTCAGTGCTGTCATCTGTTTGGTGTCTCTGGATGGGAAGGTGGGAAGGTGGACCCCAGCCCACAGCATTGCCTTGAGGGCTGTGTGTGGGGCTCTGAACCTGTTCACTCACACAGTAAATGTCAGCTGTGACTATGCCCCTTCTACTGTGCAAGTGCATTTCCTTCTTTGTGGAAATACCGTTTGCAGAAGTGCTTTGCTGTGGTCTTCTGTGCTGTGTCACACAGGCCATGTTGGGTCTTGCTGATAGGGTCAGCTTCTTCTTAAGTCTCTGATAGAAGAGAGGGGAGTCTTACTCCTGGGCTGCTTTCCTTTCTGGAGGAAGATTCGCCCATTTCCAGCAGGAGGAGCAGTGAGCTCTGCTTCAAGGAAGTTTTAAAAATGAATTTTCCAGGAGACAGAAAATGAAGTAAAGCTTAGTACTTGTTACATGACAGCTTTAAACTTTTTCAAGGCACGTACATTTATAGTATAGATGATTTCAATATTGTAATAAGACATTACCTGATGTAACTTTTTATGTTTAGGAAAAGCTGTCTCTTTCACACTTTTTCCTTTAACAGTGGGAGGAATTATAATGTATTAATAGCTAGAAAATTGTAGTTTTTTTGGGAAAGCCCAAATAGTCCACTTTTTCAAAATCCATTGTATTCAAAATACACTCAAATTGCCGGCATCCATTGGATCATAGAAAAAGCAAGAGAATTCCAGAAAAACATTTACTTCTGCTTTATTGACTATGCCAAAGCCTTTGACTGTGTGGATCAAAAGAAACTGTGGAAAGTTCTTCGAGAGATGGGAATACCAGACCACCTTGCCAGCCTCTTGAGAAATCTATATGCAGGTTAAGAAGCAACAGTTAGAACCAGACATGGAGTAATGAACTGATTCCAAATTGGGAAAGGAGTACGTCAAGACTATATATTGTCACCCTGCTTATTTAACTTATACGTAGAGTACATCATGCAAAATGCGGGGCCAGATGAAGCTCAAGCTGGAATCAAGATTGCCAGGAGAAGTATCAATAACGACAGATATGCAGATGACACCACCCTTATGGCAGAAAGTGAAGAGGAACTAAAGTGCCTGTTGATGAAAGTGAAAGAGGAGAATGAAAAAGCTGGCTTAAAATTCAACATTCAAAAAACGAAGATCATAGTATCTGGTCCCATCAGCTCATGGCAAATAGATGGGGAAACAGTGAGATACTTTATTTTCTTGGGCTCCAGAATCACTGCAGATGGTGACTGCAGCCATGAAATTAAAAGACACTTGCTCCTTGGAAGAAAAGCTATGACCGATCTAGACAGCATATTAAAAAGCAGAGACTTTACTTTACCAACAAAGGTCTGTCTAGTCAAAGCTATGTTTTTTCCAGTAGTCATGTATGGATGTGAGAGTTGGACTATAAAGAAAGCTGAGCACCGAAGAATTGATGCTTTTGAACTGTGGTGTTGGAGAAGACTCTTGAGAGTCCCTTGGACTGCAAGGAGATCAAACCAGTCCATCCTAGAGGAATTCAATCCTGAATATTCATTGGAAGGATTGATGCTAAAACTGAAGCTCCAGTACTTTGGCCACCTGATGCAAAGAACTGACTCATTGGAAAAGACCCTGATGCTGGGAAAGATTGAAGGAGTGAGGAGAAGGGGATGACAGGATGAGATGGTTGGATGGCATCACTGACTCAATGGATGTGAGTTTGAGTTAGCTCTGGGAGTTGGTGATGGACAGGGAAGCCTGGCATGCTGCCTTCCATGGGGTCACAAAGAGTTGGACACAACTGAGTGACTGAACTGAACTGATACGCTCGTGACTTGTGCATGTTAATATATGTATGTTATCCTTTAAGTTCGATGTTTTTTAAAAAAGCATTAGTAGTTTTTAAGGAGACCCATACCTCAGTATTTAATATATCACGAACCCGTGGTGTATTGGAGCTGACCTCTTCCAACTTGTGAGAGTCAGTTATTACTAAATATTCAGTAATTTTGAGCTGGTTATTAAACTCTTGATAGTTTCACATCAGCCATGGCAGAGGTATTTATACCTTGGAGAGCAGCGAATATTTACCAGTTAACTTTGTAATGTCAGTTTGCCAGCAAGCCATTGCATTTACCCACCTGTGATGTTTTGAGGACAAGATGTCCGATAAAGTTCTCATGATGCTGTGACCTAAAAATCAGAATGAAAGTAGATGTTTTTGTAGCATCTAGGCTTCCCTGGTAGCTCAGATGATAAAGAATCTGCCTGCAGTGCGGGAGACCTGCGTTCGATCCCTGGGTTGGGAAGATCCCCGGGAAGAGGCCATGGCAACCCACTCCAGTATTCTTGCCTGGAAAATCCCTGTGGACGAAGGAGCCTGTAGCCCTACAGGCCATGGGGTGGCAAAGAGTCGGACATGGCTGAGCGACTAAGCACACAGCACACATTTCTAAATTTATATAATTACATGGCTTTAAAATTCTGAGGTTTCATTCATATATTCTTTTATACAAATAATCCTAGGTTCTCATACTAACATACAAGTTTCTGTCCTTTGGTATATTTTGGTATATTTTGCTTCCAGTGTGTGGTGTTTTTTTGTCACTTCTGGTATGCTTGCTTTTTTAAGATTTGCTTTATCTTAAGTTTCAGTCTTGTCACTTGTTGCAGTGAAACTTGCCTTTCTTACAACATAATATTTCCTTTGTTGTAAGAAAAGGTAATTCAAGCCACAGCAGTGAAACAAAGTTAAGAACTCCTCTTTTTCACCCAGGCCCCATCTATTTTCTATTAACTTAACAGCATATACTATTTCACTTCCAAAGGTTTTTTTGTGTGTATGCACACTTACGTATTTTTGTTACTTTTTAAGATACAGTACTATATATTTTGTTCTGTAATTTTCTTTTTCAGTTACTCTGATATATCTTACACTTGAACACATGTATTCATCCCATTCTTTTTAATAGTTGAATAGTATTACACTGTATAGAGCCATCAGAATTTTTTTCATTTATTCCCATAGATGTACATATGAGTTGATTCCACATTTTTTTTTTTTAAACCTTTACAAATATTGTAACAGTGAAAAATCCTTATAAAAATAACTTTGCAGTTTTGGGCAAGTCGATCTGGGATTATAAATTCCTGGCAATTGCTGAGTCACAGAGAACGTGTTTATTTAAAATTTGTAAGAGTTGTTTCTAAATAACACACCTAAATCCACAAGAGTATATGGGTTTGCACCCTTTCACTAATCTAATTATCATTTCTCTCTTACTTTACATTGACCTATATGTTAGTTTGTTTTTCACATCAGGTTACCTTTTAAGATACTTTTTTTAATGAGCATTTTCAGAAAGTTAAATGTTTTATCACAATTAGAAGAAACTTTTTTTGCCCATAGTTAATTTTTTGTTTGAATTTATTTATGGTAGTGTTAGCCTTTTGGGAGTTTGTTTTTAATTCAGTTAGGTTTATCAGTTTTATCCTTATGACTTCTGAATTTCTTTACAGATTTAGTAAAATCGTCCTCACTTAGAGTGTGGAAACAGACACCTGTATTCTCTGGCTCTTTCAGGACCTTGTCCACGTCTGCCTACAGTACAGGAGACCCAGGTTCCATCCCTGGGTCGGGAAGATCTCCTGGAGAAGGAAATGGCAACCCACTCCAGTGTTCTTGCCTGGAAAATCCCATGGGTGGAGGAACTTGGTAGGCTGCAGTCCATGGTGTCGCAAAGAGTTGGACGTGACTGAGCGACTTCACTGCGCTCACTGACTTTTGTGTGAGAATGTGGCACAGATCCAAAGGAATGGCTGGTGTCTTTTACCTCTCCAAGATTATGTAATCTTTGGTAGAAGACAGCTGGGTTTGAACCTGAATTTCTTCTGTTTCTGGTGTGTGATCTTGGAAGTTACCTGCCATCTCTGTGCCCCAGTTTCTTTACCTGTAAAATGAGTTGTATTTTAATATAAGCACTTAGTATACTGATTGGTATCTACCTAATATTCCCTAAATGTTATTTGTTAATTATAGTATCAGTACCATTTGTTGAATAATCTCATCATTTCTACTAATTTTAATGCCACCCAAATCATATGTTAAATTTTTAATATAATTTTGCATCCATTTCTGTATTTCCAGCCTTTTACAGTGGAAACTGGTAAGATACTAACCTCTGTTAAAAAATTCAAAGAGCCACGTGTTTATGTGTGATAAAGGAATGCTGAAATGAACTTACAAAGAGATGCAGAAACTGGTCAATGAACAAGGCAGTGATTAATTGCATTCCAGCCAGACAGGAGTAATCTGCATTTCTGTAGACAAGAATACTTTCCATTATTATCAGTTTTCTGCAACTGATAGTGTTGTAAAATAGCTCAGAGACACTGAATGGTAAAGTGAACCCAGACAGATGATCTAGAAAAACAATCTGTTTTTCTCTTTTACTCATTTTAAAATCGTATTCCTTTGCTTTGCCTACATCTTTTTTTCCCCTACTAGTGCCTGACTTAATATACATAGTTTTACAATATTTATAAATATTGGAATGGCTTCTCACTTATTTCTCTTGTTTTGTTAAGAGAATTTTTTTTCCTGGCTGTTATTTCATTATTAGCTTCCAAATACTTGTTAGAAGCATTTCATTAATGAAAGTATTCTGATGATTAAAATTGGAAATTGGTTAGGTGAGGATAGATTAATTTTCTTTTGGGTTTATTTCAGATATTAACATAGAAATGAGGAGTTGAAAAGAAACTTTCAGATCATCTGTTCCTACCCCCTAATTTTATATCTTTTTATCATGAAAAATTTCAAACATAGACTAAGAGAAAAAATGTTGTTAAACCCCATCACCCAGCTCCAGAACTTATCAGTTCCTCACGGTTCTTGTTTCATCCACAGTCCTACCCATTCTTACACTGGATGTCCCAGATTCTCATAGGGTTCCACATAGTTCATCAGTTAACATTTTATACTTGTCTCTGAAAGATAAGGAGACTTTATATTAATACATGAGTGAAATACAGGTAACACATCTGAAAACTTAACTAAAATATAAATATCAGATGAACAGTATTCAACTGTTCCCCATTGTCTAATATTTTTTTTCAAGTTTATTTCTTTGAATCAGGATATAAGTAAGAGCCATACATTACAATATGTTGCTGTGTCTTGAATCTCCTTTAAATAGCCTTTTAGAGCTGGTTTTGTGAAATTGTACAAAGATGATGAGTTGTTTAGTCTTGCTTTTAATCATTTTGAAGTCATGGCTTACAAACCATTAGATTTGTTTTCAGTTTTAGCATTGATTGTTCCTGATGGTCTCCTGTGCTAACCAGGGGAGCCTCTTCAAGTTCCTTCTGATTTCTTCCCACATGACTGAGGAGTTTCTTGATAGGTGCCTTGCTCTCTGGTATGACACGGTGTCCAGGGCAATCTCATATGTGCTCTGTCCTGACCTACAGCCAGGCAGCCGTTTCTTGAAGGAGAAGTGGTGTCTAAAGATGCCAGTCCGGGCAGCTACTCATTTAATAAAAGAGGATGCCAGTGCTGTGCTAATAAGTTGATAGGTTTGCTCAAGTCTTTTAGACAGACTTAGCATCTGGATATTTTCTCCTAACTTTTAAACTAGCACATGAAAGCTGTTAAAGAAACAAAAAATGTGTGTTTCTTGCTATATCAGATTTCAGAACAGTATATTAAAATATAGTCTACTAATTGGAGAATAATAAATATACATTTAGAAGTTTTAAAAGGAAGTAACTCGTTTTTCTTTTGAAGAATGTTATCTGAGATAATAAAGAGTTAAATTTACATTATTTACCACATTGTTTCAAATAATGTAAAGATGAAGTAAAAAAAAAAATCTGTGCAATAATTGCATTTGAAAATTAGACTGCCTGATGCCATGCAGTTGGTAGTTTCTTGATCATGTAGTTTATTTAATATAAATTATTTATAGTTATGTGAACATTTTCAAATAATGTTATCTTTTCCAACTATTAAAGATAGCATATAGGTTTGTATTTACCCAGAAATAATCCAAGTTATTGCAGTCATCATTCTTTCAACCACAGCATTTTACAGGATTCCTGTGGACAAGAAATTAATGTATTTCATGGGTTACTTAGTAGAACTTGCTTGCTGGGAATTCTTTAAAAAGAAAGTATTTGCATAAGTGTTATGTACATAGCTAGTCATTTTGAACATTTATTCCACTGTTGGAAGGTATTTTTGCTTGAATAAGAGCTTTTCTGACTCTTTGCTCTAAGAAGCTGCATAATCTTGTATTCTTGATGGCAGATGTCTGTTAGTGAAAACGATTATTTCTGTATGTATTTAATACTGGTGTTTTGTTCTTGATAGTTCTGGTTGTCTCTTTAGATGTGTTACAAGTGTTGTCTCTTGACTATTTTTTGTAACATTTTGTTCTCCTACAGTTATTTGTAACAGTCACATCATTTAGCTTGTCTTGAAAGTCATGGTTTTTTTTTCTTTGTAGGAGGCACTGGCTACAATTAGACTTCTTGATGTCCTTTGCGAAATGACCGCTAATACTGACCTGCTCGGCTACCTGCAGGTTTTTCCTGGCTTGTTGGAGAGAGTGATTGGTGAGTGAAATATCACACATAGTGTTGTTTTTAATAAAAAAAATCTTTGACTTGTCATACTATAGTATAAAGTTTAAACACAGATCCTTAATTTTCAGTGTATTGGTCTTTTAAGATTTTTTGGAATGTTTTTTCTTGAAAGGAATTGCCGTGTTTTGGTAGCAGCTCTGGCTTTCGCCCCTTGCCTGCTGTTTATGGCGCCCGCTCAGCAGATGAGGACCCTCGTCCTTCCACGCAGGGCGCCCCCAGTGGTGTCCCCTCAGCAGTGGCTGTGATGATGGTGGCAGGTGGGGGAGGGCTATGAGAGTAATGGGGGGTTTCAGTGGTGATGGTGATTTTTATGCTGCTGTCGTTTTACCAGGCTTATTTAGTAAATTTTTCCCAGTTTCACTTAGGGAACTTGAAGAATATTACCTTGCCCATAGTAATTATGTATTCCATTCTTATAAGAAAATTGTTTTAAACAGGAAGCTGTTGTTTGAAATATTATCATCTTTGCTAAAAAACTGTTTGCAAAATAGTTCACTTACAACCTGTTGCTTGTGGTTAGCCATGCTTGTGGTTGCTGATCACTGTTGGCTTTTTTTTTCCTTTATAAAGAGAGTACACTTATTCTGGAGACCCATCTTCCAAGAAAGGTGAATTGGCATCTAGATGGGTAGAGGAGTTAGCAGCGAACTTTAGAAGATATTTAGAATTTCACATCAGTGTTTTATTTTGAATGCAGTGCTTTCAGTGATAGTTAAAATAAGACATCACAAAACTGAGAAACTGAATTATTACAGGAAAAGCGTGTGTTTGGAGCCTGAGCAAACATGGATTGTCAGCCCAACTGCCAGGTTACTAACTTCTCTGAACACGGTTTCTTCATTTTAAAGTCAGGAAAGTGACCTGCCTTTAATGACTTTGTTGAGAGCGGAATGAGATAATGTGGAAACAGTTTATAAAGCCTCTGGAAGATTGTCTACTTTCACAGACTGCCTACAAGTATTTCATAGAGTATAATAATATTAAGGTATTTCTTCTGAGTGTACCCAAAATATATTAATAGAGAACTTGTGCTGACTTCTGATTACCTGAACAATGAAAAAAAAAAAAAAATCAACGTGCTTCTTGATTTCTATCATATAGTTCGTTGCAGATAGGTACTGAAGTTTAGGGGCGTCCATGGTGGCTTAAATGGTAAAGAATCCACCTGCAATGCAGGAGATGTAGGTTCGATCCCTGGGTCGGGAAGATTCCCTGGAGGGAGAAATGGCAACCCCCTCCAGTGTCCTTGCCTGGGAAACCCCATGGACAGGGGGGCCTGGCGGGCTACAGTCCGCGGGGTCGCTGAGTTGGACAGGACTGAAGGGACTGAGCTCGCACTGCAGGTGGGACTTAGCTGACTGCAGTCATCACACGAGGGCCTTCATAAAGACGCTGGGTTTGGAGACCTTGTACTAGGAAAGACGGAAGAAAATTTTTAGCTGACTTTTCTGTGTGGATATATAGAAAGCCCAGGTTGGGGTAATCATTTTGGCTTATCATCCCCCAAATCAGAGTTACGGTAAATACTAAGGCAAACGCTGAAGAGCCTTCTAACCGTTACTCTGATGAAAGCTTTCCGCCCTTTGTGCGTGCGTGTGTGCTAATTTAATTCCCTTCCATCCTGTCTGACTCTTTGAGACCCTGTGGACTGCAGCCTTCTAGGATCCTTTGTCCATGGGATTCACCAGGCAAGAATACTATACCTGTATTTTATTTTAATCCATTAAAATAAATTACATTTATTTATGAGAATCTAATACAAAACAAGGGACTCTGGACTGCAGGGAGATCCAGCCAGTCCATCCTAAAGGAAATCAGTCCTGAATATTCTTTGGAAGGACTGATGCTGAAGTTGAAACTCCAATACTTTGACTACCTGATGCGAAGAACTGACTCACTGGAAAATAACCTGATGCTGGAAAAGATTGAATGTGGGAGGAGAAGGGGATGACAGAGGATGAGATGGTTCCATGGCATCACTGACTCGATGGACATGAATTTGAGTAAGCTCTGGGTGTTTGGTGATCGACAGGGAAGCCTGGTGTGCCACAGTCCATGGGGTCACAAAAGAGTTGGACACGACTGAACAACTGAACTGAACTGAGTGCAAAACAAAAATTTTCCTGTGGAAAACGGTGTATCCTTTCTGTTGTAGATCTTCTACGCCTGATTCACGTGGCCGGCAATGACTCCACAAACATCTTCAGCACTTGTGCTTCCATTAAAGCAGAAGGTGATGTCTCCAACGTGGCTGAGGGCTTCAAGTCTCACCTCATTCGCCTGATTGGGAATCTGTGCTACAAGAATAAAGATAACCAAGACAAGGTAAGGTTCTTAGTATGCTTTATACATATACGACTTTATTTACAATATAGGATTTAGGATTTAGAATCTATTCATTTTCTGGAAATGAAGCCTTGAAGTACTCAGAGAGTAGCTTGAGGTATATGTATATGTGTATATTTTCACAGATTGACATAATGTGTCATATTTGTTTGTGTTAAGGTTTGTATTTTTTGTGACTTTTGCATTATATTTGCTCTTCGTGTGTTTGAACCAGTCTCCTTTGTATTAAACAGTCAGTTCTTGTCCTAAGCCTGTATGTTTGAACACACTACTTATTTATATGGAGCACGGTGAGTGAAAAAGAGAACCTAGAAATTTTCAAGCATATAGTAGACATTTAATAAACAGAATTTCTTTTGGATCATTATCTTAAGAAACAAACAGATCTTAACATCTGTGCCCTGCATTTATGCATCATAAGCGTTCCTTCCAGATGCTCTGACGTGGACATAAACCTCTGAAATCTCTCAGAGGCCGCTGGGGGGGGCCTCTTGTGCTGAACAGCTGAGGGTGATTGTGTTGCTGATGTGAGAGGGTGAGAAAATGAGATAGCAGGAGGGTTGGACCACGTGCTTCCCTTTGAACAGCCTGCTTGTGTCTTTGTAGAGTTTTGCTTTTGTTTGGTGGTGTTTGTTTTGCTTTGTCAGATACTGAACATATGTGGGGCAGATTATATTTTTCCAAGATGGCTGCAAAAATATCTATCATTCTGTATGTATTCCTGCAATGTGACTTTGCCACTTTTTTTCAGAGGTTAGATTTATTTCTCCATCCTCTTGAATCTCGATGACTAAGGCCTGTGATTGCTTTGAATTATAAAATATGGTGGGAGGGATCCGGTACCGCCTCTGGTCTAGCCCTTGACTGGTGAGGTAGATTCTGTATCTAGCCTCTTAGAGGCCAGTCATCATGTAAGAAGTGCAGATTCCTTGAGATTACCACGTCCACATAGAGAAGCTCTGGAGCATGAGATGCAGTGATGAGAGAGAAAGGGGCTGGTAAACAAACCCCAGGGCACCAGGCACAGACGTGAGAGACCATCTTGGAACATTTTAGGTCGTTGCCCAGTTTCTTTGTTCCAAGCGCAGTTCCTCAGTTGCCCAGCTGATGCATGAATCAGGGACAGCCTGCCTGGCAAAGCCTTTTCTGAATTTGTGACCCACAGCATTGTGAATAAAAGTAAAAGTTTTGGGGGAAAAATAAGTTGTGTAGGTTCTGCTTCTGTTAATGGCCCTGTAAGCTACTGTTGGACTGATCCTCCTACAAGTAATAAACTCTGGACAAAAGACAGCAATGTGAAGACACTGAAATTTGACATAGTTAAATTTTGTGGAGTCGAGAGGACACTTGAATGAAGGGCACAACAGAGTGTGCCCTGTGGGGCAGTTAAGACTGATAGAAAATCTCTACTTCTTTTAGCTTAGAGAGTCAAAGGACAGTTTGGAGCAGCCACAGCTTTTAGAAAGTGAAAGTGGAAATCCTGGAAAGAAGAAAGTAAGCCCTACATACTATGTACCAACCACGTGAATCTCTGCTGGTGCCTGAATCCAAGACAGCGTCAGGCTCCAAGCAACTAAGCTAAGGATAAGATAATGACACTGAGATTTGAGCCGCCAACTTAAAAGTCTCAGTTTAAGTCCAACCAAGATAATTACCTACTGAAACAAATAAGATACCAATATTCTGTAGAGGAATATAATAGAACCTAGAGTTTTCCATACCATAGCATTCACAGTGTCCAAGATAACTTACAGCCCAAACTTATATGAAACACAGGAAGATATAACCCATTATCAAGACAAAAAAAGATAGTGGAGATAGACTGTGTGATGACACAGATGTGGATTCCAAAGCAGCTGTGACTCTGCTCAAGGATGCAAAGGAAAACATGCTTTGAGTGAATGAGAAGATCGCTTTTCTCAGCAGCGAAATAGGAATATATAAAAGAACCAAACAGAAATCTTAGAACTGAAAAATACAGTATCCAAATAACATATAAAAATTTTGCCAAATGAAGTTAACAATTCAATAGAGAGGACAGAGAAAAGAGTCAGTGAACTTGGAGATAGAGCAGTAGAAGTCATCCAGTCTAAAGAACAGAGGAGGGGAAAGACTGAAGATGAAGTGGTCATCCTAAGATGCTAAATCTTGGGGTAGTGTGTTGTGCAGCATTTGGTAACTGGAATCATTCTTACAGGACATGGCATAGACATGCTAGACAGTTTGCTCTTTTATTATACACGTATGCTGTTTCAGTGACTCCTCATCTATAAACAGGTACAAGTGGAAGACTACTCATCCACCCTTGGAAAATTACTGGACTGATTTTTATAAGAGAAAGTTAATGGAGAATAAAACACTTTACCTTTTTAATGACCAAGACTGCCTTTCTTCAGGAGCACAAAAGAGGTGGTTTTCTTGTGTTTAACTATTCTTTTGTTGTTAATTTGGATTGCCTTCTTAAAGGAACAAAATATAGTAACCCTTAAAAGGCTTATGAAGTAACTCGCTGAGGTTGGATCAGATTGCAGCGTAAGTAAATACGGAATGTGCCCCAGGGCTGCTCTGGAGAGTTCGTGGGACTCACAGGAAGTCAATGGTGTGTCCTTCACATGTGCAGTTGCTGATAGCTCTGCTGACTTCTGAGCAAACACTCTTGAAAGTATGAAGGCGTTCGTTCTTTAAGTGTAAGAATGCCTCTGTTTCTCCTACATTTTTTACCTACGCCAACAAAAAGCTTAGCCTGAAAGCGTTGCTTGTGGGATTTTGTTCTCCTTCCAAAGAAGCTATCAAAGCATCACAACCGTGACTCACTGGGTGTTAGCCTTGCTCATTGATGCCGCAGAGAGTGGAGTTCATTTTAGAAAAACGGATGGTTCTAGAGCAGGTCCTTATCACCATGCTGTTGATTTTCGTTATAGCATCTGGATGGATTTTCTGACTTCTCTGCAGATCAGGGCCTAGAAGGACGTTTGGCTCTTTCTCCAAGACTAAAGATTCGTGTTAGGGGGTTTTACATCATCAAGCTTAATTAAGTTAATCCTTCACCCAGAGGGGAAACGGAGCTGATGGCTTGTTTAGTGTCTGCTTTGTCCAGCCCTGTGCTTATGAACATGTAATATCCTCTTTCATCTTTGCATCAGTCCTGGAGTCAGGTTCTGCAACCACACTGTAGGGAGAAGCCATCAGTTAGTGAGCTGCAGGCCCAGAGCAGAGTTAGGCTTGTCTGAGTGCCTGGTCCTGTGCTCTCTCCCCTCTACCGTGGGGCTTCTCATCTGGAAGCTTCCCAGGGGCTTGGGGACGATGCCTTGAATAGACTTCCTGAGTGACCTCAGACCGAAGGTGCTGGAGGCTAACCGGACTCCTTGGGCCTGCTCTTGGTTCAAGTTGGCCACCCTTTTGCAGCTCACATCTCTGTCTCTTGAGTCATTCATTCATCAATTGGGGGTGGCCCTAGCCTTGGGGACCCTTAGATGGATAAGGCAGGCCAGACTCTCCTCCTGTGCAGCTTCCCCTCTTGGAGCACTGAGGGACCGTCCTTGCTTGTTGAACCAGAATCCCAGAGTTATTGGCACACATTTCCTGCAATTTTCGTGCACTACTGATTGCTCTGAGGTTTGGTCAGAAGTCATTTAACCCCAGCTAGGTCTCTGCTTATCTGTGTAACTTCCTTCATTGCATTGAGTGTGGTGCCCACCGGCAGATGACTCCCCCATGATTAGTTATGCGACCCTTTCTCTGTTGCAAAGGTCTTTTCCTCTGCATTAGTTCTTTGGAACGTTTCGACACCTCTGTGGCAAGGCTGAAAAGATATTGTCATCATTTTCTAAATGAAGAAACCAAAGCTCAGAGGGACTGAAGTGAAGTCGCTCAGTCGTGTATGACTCTTTGCAACCCATGGACTGTAGCCCACCAGACCCCTCTGCCCATGGGATTTTCCAGGCAACAGTGCTGGAGTGGGTTGCCATTTGCTTCTCCAGGGGATCTTCCCGACCCAGGGATCGAACTTGGGTCTCCTGCCTTGCAGGCGGACGCTCTACCGTCTGAGCCAGCAGGGTTTAACTCAGCTGGCGTGTATGGGGTGGACGCTGCCGTGCGCTGCGTGCTCACACACGCAGTAGGGAGGCGTGCAGGGCGCCTGCAGGTCCGGCCGGAGCCCCTGCTTTGAGGGGGAGGGCACGGCGGGAGAGGAGCGGCCCTCTGTGAGCGTGGATGGGAGCTGGCCTGCAGCGTGGGAACGGGGAGGGGGGGTCATCTTTTCCATTCGTGTCCATGGGCGGTTTTTAGGAGGGTCAGGCTGCCTGGTCTGCGGTTGAAAATGTACTCAGAAATTTATCTTCCCCAGTTTTCCGTGAGTCTTGGGTCTGTACACATGGTGGAGTGTAGTATTTCCTGAATTGTAAAGGAATTTCTACACTTCCCTTTACCAAGTCATCCTAGGGAAATGTTCTTAAATACAGTACCTGGTGACTTCTGTTCTTACCTGTGTTTTGTGCTTGACTCACGTGGTGTTTTCCTGCCACCTCTGTGGTGGTTCGTTTACGTGTAGACCTTTGCGGACCTGAAGTGGAGATTGTGTTTTGGGTTCTGTTGTGAGAACCACGTGGGTGTTAATGCTGCAGACATGACAAAAGCGCTCTCCAGCTGCTTCTTTGTTAGAGTGAGGAATGTTCAGTTTGCTGTGTTTCTTCCTCGTTCTTCTCTTCGCTATTGTCGTGGACGCTCTAAGTGGGTGCTTTATTATTGAATAGAAAAGAAACCAAACGCAGTGTTTGTTTTTTTCATAAAGCTGAATGCATTCTTCAAAATGGATGAGCAGGTGATCCAGTTTCTCTACCTTCTCCCGCACACTGCCCTCCCCACCCGCCAAGAGCTCGTGGTGACTAAGGTGGCCTGTCCACTGTTGTGGCTGAATTCCTTCTACTGAAGGTTTTGTGGAAATGCTGTTCAGTGTCTTCTCTTCCCCCTTCTGCTCCTCA